ATAATAACCTTGCGTTCTTATGAATACTTCCTTGTCGTATGGTGAATTTTAGTAATTTTGTTTTGTTACTGTTTCCCCTTTTTTTGACATATTTTACAAAATCTTTTTTTAGTTTGGTGAAATGATTATAAAATATAATTTCTTCATATGACATACCATACAAATATGAATTTTATTTTTGAATAAAAAAAGATTTAATGAAAAAAACAGGTTGTTGTTCATGGTTTTTTTTCTTCTCTGCATCTGGTCACTAAAACATTTAATTCCATATCTGCATAAAAAAGTATGCATTATGTCTCTCACAACTTCAAAGAGTTGAAATTATATATTTAGAAACAAACATGCATAGAAGATGTGTGAATTTTCCAACAAATTTACATAAAACATGAACTTTAGACATAGATTCTCAAAATAATTGACTTTTTTGTTGGGTCACTAGAAAATTCAAGAAAAAAAAGGGAAAATAGAGTTAAATCTTTACTTTTTAAGAAGCAATTGATCTAAAGTTTATTATAATATTTTTTTATTATTAATTAAAATACTCCCTTTTTAAAAATTACACATGTTTTATAAACATTTTTTGTTTGTCTATCCTCAACATACCTGAATTAAAGTTCTTTAGATTTAATTTATCCTTAAGAGTAGAAATTTGGTACACAGCTTTTCCAAGTATATTATAATTTTGAGAATCCTTGATTTAGCTATACTGTAATACAATAAATTTAGGTAAAATGTTGACACTCAACAATAAAAACATGGCCCCCCTAGTAAAAGACACATAGATAATAGGCCTACATATAGGGAAAATTTAAATTTTCATATTTGAATATAAATTAAATAAAATTGATAAAAGCTGGTTAGAGTAGTATTCTGGTAATGTGAATATTGTGGACTGGATCCCCATTCTCGCAAACTTATTTCCTTTTTTTTTCTCTTTCAGATTTGTTTCTCAGCAGTGTTTTTAATATTTCCTAAATGTGAAAAACAGCAATCACGTTAACAGAAAAATTTATATAAAAAAATGTTGCAACTAAGCATTTTTTATTTAAAGATTTTGCTATTTTCTGTCAAACATCATAATTTTTTTTTATTGCTGAATGTTTTTCAGTGTTAAAATAAGTACAACTTTTTAATAATTCCAACATGAACACTTAGTTTAGAAAAGAAGTATATGTAGTACAAGGCACTTTATTATTATTATTTTTTTATTTATTAAAATGCTAAATTGGGACTAAAATTGGTTTTATGACTTATGCTAAAACTTTTGAAAATGAAAATTATTGAGTTGTATAAATAAAAAAAGCTTACATTTTGAATGTAATACTTATAAATTTCTCTCTAAGTAAAAAATACATGAAGTCTTTGGCTTAAATATGACTTAAGCGCCATATAGTTAAAGACAGATGAGCAAAACTGTTGTTTGTTTTTTTTTTACACATGGGAGAATTTTGTAACCCAACACATTTACTTTGTAAGACTGGACTTTTCCCTCTTGTCAGTAATGTCAGAGTTAACATGTATGCTTACGGTTTGATAGTTAATCTTCTAAAAAATATATAATTAACGTGTTACATAAGCAACATGCAATAACAAATAGATTATCATAAGGACATGATTTAAAAAGCCTTTTTTCTACCTTTGACCATTTAAAATTTGTTATTCTTAAAATTTTGCTTTGATTGGCTGTGACCAGGGGTGGCCAACCTTTTATTTTGCTTTCATTGGCTGTGACCAGGGGTGGCCAACCTTTTATTTTGCTTTCATTGGCTGTGACCAGGGGTGGCCAACCTTTTCATGGCTTAAACCCGACTATTCAGTGTTGCTCTAGTAACTAGTAGTATCCAAGCGCTACATGACAAAGATCAGAATTGAATTTGGTTCGTGAGCTGCAGGTTCCTGACCCGTGGATGAGACAAAACTATGACTGACAAATTGCTTTTATAAATGAAAAAAATATGATATGGAGTCGTTTGATTTTACCTGTTGTAATTTCATTGTAGAGATATGATGTATTCCTAAATAGTCAGTCAGGTGCCATAGTTCAGAAAAAAATATTGCTCTGAATATTATTATGCTTGAAAATATCTCATATCATTTTTAAATGATAAGGTACCAGATCACACAATTTTGTAGGCAATGTTTAAAATATTATATTGTAACAGAATCATTTATTTGTAATGAATTTTGAACATTCATCCGTTATTCTATCATAGTCACATTTTAGATAACATTTTTTTTGGGGCGAGTTCACAATTAACAAACTCCTGCACTAGATGCATTTACTGAACGGGCAGTCTGATAGGCTCCATGTGTAGGGGGACAACACCTTTCTAGGATATGCTTTCGTCTTTCCGTCCACACTGGATGATGAAAAGCAATAAAAAACACCTGTCTGAAAATACTACAGTTCATTATTTACATGGCCACACTGGATAACGACAAGTTCACAAGATTTCAACTCCCTGCTAACAGAAATCAAGATCGCTGACACTCCAGTCAGAGTTCAAGACCATACAGTAGCAACAACATTCATGAAAACTAAGCAACAACTTAAAAACTCCTATCAATCTGAGAACTGTCAACACTTAACATACAAACTGCCACCCCGGTGCTCACACAGCATCCCAATTATTGATCTTGCATAACCTGACCAATCCCAACTAGCCCTGACATAACACAACCAATCACAACTGGCCCTCTCAAAACTATCCAACTGATGATCAACAACTGTTCCATACACAACCTGACCATGCTGACAGAACCAGTTGACTACATTGAGAGCCTGTCCAAATGTTCTTTATGGTTCAGTTGGACTAAACTCAGTGTGGGCAGCCTCAGACTTGTTAGATATAAAATAAGGGACTTAAGTTTAACTTACCTCATTTTTTACTTTATCAATATCTTTGTTTACCCTTAGACCAGTGGTTCTCAAACTTTTTAATTGGGGGGTGAGTTCACTGTCCCTTAGAATACTTAGAAGCTTATAGGCTGGTTGACTGTCGCTCAGAAACTGTAGAGGCCAGACTATCGTTTTAAAATATAATACATTCCTTTACACACTACATGTATATTATGTGTAGTAAAATGTCAGGAAAAACAACTTTAAAATGAATTACACTTTTAAACAACATAAAGTTATTATTTCAATGGGAAATATGGGTCTGCATTTTGCTCAATAGATGGTCAATATCTGTATCCATAATCATCACTGCTACCTGGCTCAGGTCCTGGGTACCCAAACAGCGGCCAGTCGGGCCGGATTAAGGACCCTTGTTGGACTTGATCTGGCCAAAAGGCCTTAGTTTGAGGACCCTGCCCTAGGCTAATGGATTTTTCTTAGCATGTTATTTCATAATGCACTTTTTTTTTTTTTAAATTTACTGTTAGAAACTGATATTATAAAATATTATTCTTCAAAAAGGTATAATAAATTAAATTTTTGAATTTGTTATAAAATAACTTCAACTTTCAACTATAAATTTTTGGATTTAATGGAGAAAATGCTAAATTGTTTGCTAGTTTGAAATGTTAAAACAATTTTAATGGTGCGAATAAATTTATTTGGTTGGTTAGAAATATTGTGTAAAGGACTGACTTTAGTAGACTGAATATAATTCTTCAAACATGTTTTAAGGGGCCATCCATATATTATGTATATACGAGTTTGGGGGGGGGGTTGATTTTGGAAATATTTATAGTATGGTTGCTTATGGTGGCATTGGCGGGGCGGTCTCGGCAGAATGTACATGAATTTATACACAAATTCTGCACTAATTATCCTGAAGTTGTTAAGACCATAAAAAGCCCCTTTATAGCTTTAATAAACCCAAATTTTGCCTTAAAATTAAAATCTGTGAAATTCTTGATTTCTAATTATTTCCAAAGGTTGTAAAAAATATTGCAACCTTTTGTAACACTGTTGCTTTGTGTTTTCAACCTTTTGTAACACTGTTGCTTTGTGTTTTCAACCTTTTGTAACACTGTTGCTTTGTGTTTTCAACCTTTTGTAACACTGCTGCTTTGTGTTTTCAACCTTTTGTAACACTGTTGCTTTGTGTTTTCAACCTTTTGTAACACTGTTGCTTTGTGTTTTCAACCTTTTGTAACACTGTTGCTTTGTGTTTTCAACCTTTTGTAACACTGTTGCTTTGTGTTTTCAACCTTTTGTAACACTGTTGCTTTGTGTTTTCAACCTTTTGTAACACTGTTGCTTTGAGTTTTCAAAGATGGGGGGTGTAATTTTTTTGACTTATTTATTTTGTTTCGAATGAAACAAATATTGTCAATAAAGATACAAATTAGGACTGGTAGGCCGGCATCAGGGAATGTGGAGAAAACACAGAAATCATTTGTATGTACTCACATGGGGGTTGGTAGGTCCAATAACATACAGTTGCAATTGGGGGTTGGGGGGGGTGAAAATCAGAATTATTTGGATGGCCCCTTAGATGATAAGCAAATGAAAACTGAAAGGAAGTGTGTAGTTTATGTTTGGAACAACAATAAAATTGACAGGTAACCAAATGTGTCTTTATGATATGTCACACAATCTATTTTGTTGTTTAATTAATAATGTTCCATTATCTCATATGCAAACTGCCCTCCATATTTTAATTAAATCTGCATTATAGTTGTAATTTTCATTAGTGAGACAATTTTAAAACATTAAAAGTGTTTTGCTCATAGGAACATAAAACAGGAATCCAACTGCTGCCAGTATAACTGCTGAAGGTTTTGACAAAAATTGCTAGTATAACTCCTCGAAAAATTTTCAGCATATCTTCTGTAGGTTTAGACAATAACTGCAATTATAACTCCTGGAGGTTTAGATCAAAATTGCCAGTATAACTCCTTGAGGTTTAGATCAAAATTGCCAGTATAACTCCTGGAGGTTTAGACAAAAATTAACTTTGCAGTGAACGTTAAAAAATATTTAAAGAAACATGATAATAAAGGCATGTTAAAACTAATGAATAAAATAAAAAATTTAACAAAGAAAACTCTATATGTCTTTCTTTAATTGTAAATGCATAAATGGTAATAAAGGCACTCTGAGGATCCATTGGCCAGATAATACTGTAAATACGACACTAGAGAAACTAGGTGGGCCATGCACAAATATCTTTTGAACACATTCAAATGTTAGTGCACATAAAGTTTGCTAAAGAGCTTTCTATTCTTACAATGGATTAGAACAATATACATGAATAGTTATTTTTACTCTTAATTTCTATTCAGCAAGTCAAAATGTATACTGTTAATAATAGCGCAAAGAATATTGCTAAACATACTTTAAAAAATGTTTACATTACCCCCTACTTTTAAAAATATTCTTTTTTTTTAAAAGAAAAAATTTTGAATAAATATTTTTTAATGATAGATGTAAGATAAAGAAAAAAAAAAGGGACCGTTCAATGTTTACAGGTGCATCATAATACCTAAATCTTCGTAATCAGCTCATTAGCAAAATTTATGGCATAACTTTTGCTGCTGTCAGCAGAATCAGTTAAAGTTTAAATTAAAATGTTAAGAAATTAGCTACAAATAGGAGTGAATTGGTATAATTATAGTTAATTAATGTGCAGCGATTATTTCACTAAGGATACATGGTTAAGAAATGCCAGGAGTATGACACTTAGAGGTGCTGGCTATTGATAAAAACATCTCGCTCACACGAGCTAGCATACTATTCATACATACACACACGTAAAAGTATTCACACATTTTTTTTTTATTTGTCTGCTTATCTAAATAATGATTTTTTTTTTTTTAGATTATAATATAATAATAACCCAGTCAAAACTGAATAATAATCATCTGATTTGAATAAGCTGATTTTTAAAATTATTTTATTGTTATATTTAGTTCAGTTTCAAGAGTTTAATCCATTTTTTTGGTAAAAAATGAACATTATCACATGCAGACACACAATTATAAAAAAAGTAGATATAGGTATATAAAAATTACTATACCTTGTTACAAAATGAACATATCATAGAATGGAAAACAGTATGTTTATAGAAACAATAGAATAAACAACAGTTTAACCAGAGATTCAAAATAAAAAAAAAACAGGACACAATGATATGGTAAACAAAAAATAATAATTTTATCAATAAATCTCAGTGTAAAAAAAATGAGAATGGTCAACACAATAAGTGTTAATGTAGAGACAGCTCAACAAAATGAAATAAATAATGTCAAACAAAGTTCAATTTTACTAGATTTGTTGTATAAAGTATAAAATCACAGATATCATAATATACATCCTAAACCAAGGAGTTATATTAATGGATAGAGTGGTATCATTTCTTTAAGAAAAAAAAAAAGAAGTTTTCCTGCATTTCTTAATAATAAAATGCTTCAAAATTTATTAAGGAAGAAATTAATCACTTATAAGAAAGGCATATATACTTATCAGATTGTTATACTCTAATCTCAAAATTCAAATACTCGGGTCACAACCTTTTCAATTAAGAATACATTTACTAATATTATTACTAAGTGTAAAATTGATCTCACTCTCAGAGGCCATTCATCATCTATGAAATAAGGTCTTTAAATTCTTTAGCCTTTTAAAAATAACAGGCTATTATGAATAAGGCTCCAAAAATAGTCTAAAACAAATAATTAGAAAACAAAATTTAAAATAACCATACTTGATGTCTGCTACTGCAATGGTAAAATATTTTGTTAAAAACAATTTATATGTAAAATAGTCACACTGTTTCATGGATGGTTAAATGTATTCACTGTTAACTCAGAAAGGTTGTCACGTTTTTTCCAAAAGTTAAGGTTAAACAAATTATTTCTGGCGGGATACATGCGGTTGTGTTAATCTGGCAACAAATAGGAAGAGCCTTTTGTGAATCACAAAATTTGAACAAAGTAAGAAGCTGCTGGAAAGTATGTAAACAGAGAAAAATAAAAATATGAAAAAAAACACTTAGCAATCGAAATCTATAAATATATGATAAAACACACACATTTCTTATGAATACGAATATTCCTCTTTAGCATGATGGCTTCCCTAGTTAAGGTTTCCGAGATAACGTTAAAATTCAAGCAGTTATAAAAAAGTGTCAATTTAAAAAAAATTAAATTAATCATTTCAAAATTTAACTAAAATATGTGGTGAAAACCAATTAAATCAATTTTATTAGCTTTTGGCTAATCTTATGGTCAGTTTACACAAATAATCTGACGAAAGGTGATCAACTTTAAATTTTGACTATATTTTTGAAATAATACCTGTAAAAATAAAATAAATTAGTTAAAAACAAATTGCACTGGACTAAATAATCTAACCTCAATTAGAAATATGCTTTCCCAGAAAATATCAAAATATATATGCACAAATGACATGGCCTGATATTATTTTAATGTCCTAAAACATCACACACACTTTCTCCCTTTCTTATGGCTTATGGTGTGCAAACTCTAAGAATTAGTTTAACCCAAAATCTACTTATCTTTTAGAAAGTCTGACAAATCATACACCCATTTGTATAAAGCCATAATTGCTTGGTTACATACTTTGCACCAAACTTATTTATGACAACTGGCTTTTATACTTTTAATATTTGTTAAAATAATTGTCATATAATAAATAATACAAAATGAATACAATGTTTCATAAACTTCACATTTCCTAATTTTATTAAATGATAAAAAGTATTTCCCTTACACAGAAAAAAACTCCATGTTTGTAAAGAATAGCCTCTAAATAAAAAGATTTAAATAAAAATAAAACCTAGGTAGAATAGTTTTGATCCTAGCTACTCTATGTGTCCATCACAATCACCACACAACACACTTCTTCAGTGGATTCATACGACTATCTGATCGGCATCTAAATGCATCAGCAAACTCTTTTGAATTCTGTAGGGTCCCTAGTACTCTGAAAAAGTAAAGTTATAATATAGTTCTTAATGGTAAAAATTCTAAAAACATTGCAATGATTGTATTTAATGCATTTTACAATCAGATGTAAGGAAAGACGTACCTATATGGACCAGGTGCATGTTTATCCTTCTCCAAAATAATCTGCTTGGCTTCATTGCGAATCTTTGCACACCACACCTGTAACAGTGTTATCAAACGAAAACAATTACATTTCCCTTTTGGCTGATTGTTACATTTCTACTACGAAAAAAACTGATTGTTTTCTTCAATTGTCATGAAACGTCAAATGAGAACTTTTGATTGAATTAGTTGATATTGATCACTGATCAATTTTTTTTTCTAGACACTTTCAATGATTAACTGCCAAATAATGACACTTTAACCAGTAGTGTTGCCGCCCAAGGTGGGCCAAGATTTTTGACGTCCCTGTTCACAGAAAAAATCTGCAGATGCCCCACAATGCTGACCCTTAAAATAAAATAAAAAAGCCACCCAGGGCATACCGCCCCCTCCTTCCAATGACTTTAACTGATCAACTGCCCATTAGATACACTTAAATGGATCAACTCCCACATTTCTTAGGTACAGTCTTATTAGTTATCAGAAAAGCACTTCAGAGCAAAATTCACCAACAAATTGAAGCCATTGTATTCTGGAAGTAGGTCTTGATACCAAATGTCCAAAACTTGTTATTCACAGAGATGAAAACAGTGATGTAGTTGGTGGTCCCATTGTTATTATGTGGTACTTGATATTAAAAATGAGGCCTTTGTTCTTAAGATCTAAGCACAATTGTAACTACTGGCTTAATCTACATTTCTGATATTGCAAGGTAAAAATCCCTTCATTGCAGGGATTGAGGGAATAGCATTACTTGAGCAAAGCTGAGGAAGAAAATCTGGTCATGATTCAGTTTGAGTCCAGGCAATTTGGTTTCCTCTGTTCCTCTTCTTTTGATAAAGTTTCTGTAGGCCTGTAATAATGGAAAATAACATATCCGGGTAACAGGTTTTTGGTACCGTAAGAAATTATATTTCCTACATCCTATCAAAGGGTTTTTGACCTGGCTACATGCCATTTTAAATTTATCCAAAAAATTTCTAAAAATTTAAACATGGACTTTGAAATAACTTAAAATAAATTTTTACTACGTAAACATACAGAAGATAAGATATCGTCTCTTATACCTTACAAGATCTTTTATGAGTATAAGAAAACATAATAAATGGCATAGGCCTCTCTGTTCTTGAACTTTAACACTTAAAAATAAATATATCTTACTCTGTAGCTCTGTTTCAGGCCTCCATTGTCTGCAATATTTTCATCCAGAGTTTTCTCTCCGTCAAGCTGTTTCACAATTTGAAACTTGGTCAATTTATTTTCAGTTTTATTTGATAAATTGCAAATGAACAAAAACAAAACAACAGAGCATGGGAAAAGAGGGAGGGAGGGTATTGTCAGTAACATAGCCTTGGGAGAGAGGGAAATGCTCCCTATGCGACAATTATTGCAAAAAGTGGGATATTTACAAGAAATATTATTTTTTCCAAGTATAAATTTTTAAATCCAACAACTTAAAAAGCACTATTTATTTTCACCAATTATCAAATGACCGAAAAAAGCACTAGTCTTTTTATTTGGACCAATTATCAAAAGACATACAATATTCATTCACCTTGCATTGAAATATGTTATCTAATTGTATGTAGTTAATGTAGTATGAGCCTAGCCTATTTTTTACTGATAATTTGTACTGGTATATTGACAATATTTGTTGAAAAACAAATTAGTCTTAGAGCAGGCCTGCATAACTCAAATGTAAGGCGGGCCGTACTACTGTTATATAAAACTTGTGCGGGCCAAAAGGAAATAGGAATTGTGCGGGCCAACAGAAAATAGGACAGGGGGAATAAAGAATGTTTTGTTACTTCGCGGGCCGCGAAGTGGATGCTGGCGGGCCACATGTAGCCCGTATGTTGTGCAGGCCTTTCTGACAGAATTTAGTATTATTATTATATTTGTTAAGGTAACAACATAGGAATTGATTCCACTGTATGAATAATGATAAAAAAAAATGTGAAAAGAATTGGAATCTGATTTATAACAGACAGATAAAAAATCAAAAGGGAATCTCAAAATGTGGTACTTCTACTGAATACAATCAACTCAGTGTTTTGAAAAGATATAAATAGGGACTTGTGTATTTACCCTAGCTTCTCTCGTGTTGCTCTCCAATTAAGTGTGGAATGATGAAAAACTAAATTCTGGTGTGGGCCAAAATGCATCCCTGCATTTTTAATTTTTCAAAAAGGATTGCCTTCATTGAGTGACAAACTGATGACAAAATGACCACCTTGAATAAATACAATGACAGCAAAGAATAAGGTGGCTCATTGTTTAGAGATCAGAGCCGCCACCTGGGCCTTGCGACCCCTTGCAGCTGCAGGGAGCCTTGGATATTTAAGGGATCAAAAGTTGTAATTTAATAAAACTTTTAATGCAGAAGTTTGAAGGGCGCCTCTAAAAGTCATGTGACTGCTTTGTAAGAGACATTATGTGAACTCACACTGTTACCGTCCCACTTATAGCATCCATACTGGTCTACAAAACATGAAGCTCTAGACTTGAAGTTGGCCATGTCTTCCTTACCCCACCACTTGTTAAGCTCACCATTGGCATCATATTGATTACCTGAAATAGCAATGTTATTATGGGATGGCCATATGGCCTTATAAATAATAATATCTGATGCCATAAGGCTCAAGAATAAAGATTTTTTTTTTTTTTACTTGACTTTCACTCAGATTAATGGGATTTTATCATGAAGACATGCAATGAATATTCAAATAAAAACTAAACATAATAGAGTGATTATAAACACGATTACACATAACTATTAAGCAATGAACATAACATTAGGCGTCTTTTGGGTACTACCGGTACCAAAAAGTAATGTTTGAATAAAAGGAATAGAAAATCCATGACTAGAACCTTGATAAATTAATGAGCATGCATTGAAATGACAGACACCATAAAACATATATGTATTATTTATTACGGGTTAGCTGCATGATGCACTTTTATCCATTGAACTGTTAATTTATATTAAAACCATTTTAATCCCCATCACAAAATAGAAGACCCATTATTGACAACGGGGATTGAAAAAAATTACGTGGGTGATGAAAAATCTTTTGATAATTAATTGAAATGTAACTATCTATGTAACTATGTAACTAACGTGAAATATTGTTGCAGCCAAAAATCTGGAAAATGCCACTTTTATTGGATTTAAAAAATGCCAACAAGGCTTGTTGTCGTGTTAAGAGGCAGTTTACTCGATACAGACATTAAAATGAATTTAGAATGGCTAAAATGTCTTCAAGACTGCCCGTAAATGTCTTTTTCTATAAAGCTGCAATAATATGTATCCAGAATATTTCAAAGGGGCCCTAGTGTAAACAAATCATCTTGGGTCTGTATAAGCACTTGAAATGAACACTATATTTTTCTACCATAAAAACAAAAAGAAAATTCACATAGATTTCATTACTTTTGAATTAGTGTATTATGATACTGATGAATCTTCATCAAATTGGTATTTTATATAAGTGTTTTGGAGGTGAGCAAAAATGTAAATAATACACAATAAATAAAAGAAGTCACAGTGTTAAAAAAAATCTAGGTTATTGATAAGCAATCATTTATTAAGTTTTAGACATACCAAAGAATACAAAAATTGAGATTAATTTTAAGTAAATTTGTCATTTATTTAAAAAAATGTTTCTTAAAAAACACAATTTGTATACCAAAATAGAAAAATGTTAACTATTTTTTCATGACAAAATAAAAATTAAATGTTTACTAAGATGACAAATGTACTTAACTTTTTTTAACAGGGGGAAATTGCAATTGCAAGTGCTTGAGTATTAAAAAATACATTTGTGCATCAAAAAATAGTGTTACATTTCAGAAATGATAAAAATGAAATGAAATTCTTAGCCATGCTGCAATGCAAATAAAGTATCAGGAATGATCAATGAAATTTTCTATAAATTTTTTTATATACTCTAAAAAAAACTTGGTTTGACAATATTTATCAACTTATTTATACCGCTGTTCTTTAGTTTACATTAGTAGTATTAGTGGCTTAATTAATTGGTTAATCCTCCTTCACAAATTTGACAACTTCAATTGGTATTTCAATATGCAAAATGTAAAAAGTACCTAGTGAGAATATAACTATATCTTTGTATAAACACAACAGTCTAATCTTTCTGAAAGTGCAGTTTTGCCCACAATTTGAATATTTGTTAACATCACTAGTTCTAAATATTGCATTCACAGGCAATATAAATTGTAAATATATTTTGTGTAGACTGCCGAATAGTTTCACATCTTGACAGGGGCATGTACTCTTTTGGGTTACGTGCATGAAAGCAACAGATCTGAGTGCTTCTGAAATAAACTGGCAGTCCAAACTGCTCTACTTAAAATCTGATGATAGGCTTCATGCCTGTGGGCAGTCTACTCACCATTGAAATCAACAAACCCTCTAGCTATCAACCTGCCCATGTAAGAAGCTGTCGCCCCAAACAGTTGAGAGCTGTTGAGTGAATGTTTATTAGTGCCTCGGATTGTTTTTATAAAAATGGTTGCAAAAAAAGTATGTTTTTAATGATGATTTTGTTTCTTGAGAGCAATGGGCTCTAACTCACCTGCATTGTCATAACCATGAGTGATTTCATGGCCGACAACCATTCCAATGCCTCCATAGTTCATAGAGCTACAGAGACAAAATAATAAGCGGTAAGAATGATTCCATTTTCTAACTTCAGAAGGCTGGAACAAAGCGACCTTTTTGAAATTATTTCGAGACTGGCTTATTCCTTATATGGTTTTATCAGTAATGGTGCTTCTCGGGTATGAAATAATTTTGAAAGAAAATTTCAAAAATTAAATATATATAGATTAAAGAAACCCATATAAACAAAACTATGATTATTTCAAATTTGTAATTTGTTCATTCATAATGTTCACTAATTTCACCTGGTGTATTCTGGACTGTAGACCGGAGGCTGTAGGAAGGCTGCTGGGAAGACTGGAGAAAAGCGGGGATAAATTTATAAGGGGGATAATATATTATAAACAAACTTAGTTTGGTATATTTTAAATGCTTTTCAGTCATTCTTAAATGATTTTTGCATGGGGGGGAGGGGTGTTTGGAATTTATAACAACACTTCTTTTGATTTATTTGTTATAGATAAGCATAAATGGCTTTTTTGATAATTAAAATTGATTACAGGTAGGGCCGGTGCTAGGGGATGGTGAATGAGGTGACTGTCCAAGGCCCGACACTTGTGAGTTCCCCACATTGAGTCATTATAATATTATACTTTATTTATATAGTCAGACAGTTTTTCTATTCATAGTTTGTAAAATCCAGTCAGCATCATTCTAGAGGTTCAGAATGATCAATTGGCCTATCTGTTTTGTTCACTTATTACACCCCATACCAATGGCACAAGACTATGCAACTTCATGTAGCCTGTAGCTATTACAATTTCCAAGGTCTAATCTGTTTCTTAACCAAATAAGAACGCTTTTCATCAGCACTGACAACTTTAAAGGAAATTGTTTCAGAATCGAATCAGTGTTGAAAGAACGCCACAGTAGGTGAATAAAGAGGTGTTTGAATATGAATCTAGAGACGAGAAACAAAGAAGCCTAAAGAATCTTTAAGTATAGCATTTTTCTTGTGGCTAGTAGATAGTCTAGTACTAGTAGAACTGAAGGTCCTGAGAGAATTGATTCCATAAAAGTACAGACAGCTTTTAACATCAATCGCTTGTACCACTGGCAGTTTCGTTTCCAAATGGTGCAATCTTTTACAAAATAATCTCAACAGTGCCAGTAACCATACCAAGTGCAGAAATAATTGTTTCAAAATTAAAGTTGATAAAAAACTTACTTGAGATCATCAATACCATGAGATAAGCAAAAATCTAGGCACAATGCGTATTTTGGCTCAGGACAATTAAAATTACAGTATAAAATAAAATTGAAACGTAGAAAACTAAGCAGGTTATAAATACCCATCATGACGTGTCCCATCATTATGACCAGATAGAACCAGTATGACTAGGACGTGTCCCATAATTATGACCAGTAAGAACCAGTATGATATGATGTGTCCCATCATTATGACCAGTAAGAACCAGTATGACCGTGAGTTGTCTTAAGGTCATTTAAACAGGGATATGTAGGCCCTAACATCAATGGCCCAAGCAAATCATTTTCCCTTAAACCCCACAGCCTCCTAGCACCAGCCCTGTTACACTCAATATCACTTTTTTAAAAATTTAATCAATAAATTAAATTATCAGCTGTAATTACTAAATGTCACTAAAATTAAAACCTGGAGTGAATAAGTAATTTGCAAATACATTTTCACTTTTAATAATAATCCATTGTTGGACGAAGAGATTGCAATAAATTTAAAATATCTGATTCTTGTGATGCCATAAGAAAATGCGATACAGAGGTCAGCCAAAATGGTGTCATGTCTTCTTTTTTTTTTATGGAGATCACTTTAAGCTTTAAAAGTGTAATTCAGAATTAAGTGCATATGTTAAACCAAACTAATGAAACATGTTTCTGTGTATATCTTTTCTTGGTTTGAATAAATTTTCTGCAATTATTATAAATGCTATTTAATGTACAAATAACTCAAAATAGATTTAGAATTTATACAAATAAAAGTTAAATACAATTAAGCCTACATAAAAATAGCTCTACTCACTTATATCATTGCCAAGACTGTCGTAAAATGCATTGCCTATTGCAGGATGCACTCGCCAACTAAAGGGAACAAAAATTACACATAATTTTATAAGCTTTAAATGCATACATTAATTAACTTCATAAGAAATGTTTTACTTCATTAATACTACATATAAACCAGCTGCCATTTTCTACATATAAACTGGCAGCCAATGCCTACATATAAACCAGCTGCCGTTTCCTACATATAAACTGGCAGCCAATGCCTACATATAAACCGGTTGCCATTTCCTACATATAAACCAAATTTAACTTCCTAAATTAAACGGCTTTCATTGATAACATATAGACCAGCTGCCATTGTCTACATATAAACTGGATTTCATGATTACATATAAACCAGCTGCCATTTCCTAAATATAAATTAGCTGCCATTGCCTACTTAATATACACCAGCTGCCATATCCTACATAGTATACACCAGCTGCCATTTCCTACATATGAACCAGCAGCCATTTCATACATAAAAGCCAGACTCCATTGCCTACATATAAATGCGTTTCCATTGCCTACATATAAACCAGCTGCCATTGAATACATATAAACTGTTTGCCATTGCCAATATATAAACTGAATGCCATTTCCTACACATCAACCAACTGCCATAGCCTACATATAAACCAGCTGCCATTTCCTACATATAAACCGCCTTTTATTGATTACATATAGACAAGCTGCCATTTCCTACATATAAACCAGCTGCCATTTCTTAAAAACAAACCAGCTGTTATTTCCTACATATAAATAAACCAGCTGTCATTGACAACATTTAAACCAGCTGCCATTTCCTACATATCCACCGGCTTCTGTTGCTGTACACTCACATGTCTTTGTTGCTCACTCTAAGCATTTTAGCATTCTCTTGAGTTGCATATTTATTTGATGCTACTATTGTTTCAAAGAATTTGGATTCCTCATTTTGAACCTAAATAGAATGTGAAAATTGAAGGGCTGAATTAAACATGGTTTGAAGGACCATCTGACATAACAACATGATTTTTCTGAAAATAATTTCAAAATATTTCCAAGAAACTTCAATATCAAAATTATGGCTTGGCAAAGTACATGTCCTATAAGTTTGAGTGAGATTAGTGTTGAGATGAATGAAATTTCTTTTAAGTTTTCAAAACATTTTATCTTTTGTTTTAATTTGTTTCCTTTACAAAGCTTCATTCAACACGAAGTCATTATTTTGATCCAAAATTTATTGAGTTTCATCTATCTTATTTTCTTCAAATCATATAAAGATTATTTCTTTCAAATCTTATACATTGTTTTTGAATTACCTTTTTAATTTCTTCTATGAATATGAATAAAAAAATCAAAACCATTAAAAATTGTTGTCTATAACTTCTAAATCTTTTTTCATAGGAACAAACATTTTGAAAATGCTTTATTATTCTATGTAATAAAGTTTATTAAGATTCTAAACTGCACTGTTCAATACCTAATTCTTTAGTATCTGTTTTTGATTCATTTATAATAATTTATATATGATGGTTTTACTCACAAAACTGTAAAGTCCATTCAGCCAGTTATCATCAAGTATATAATCAGGATATCCGATCTTAGACTGCATTGATTTCAACTATTAAGATAAAGTAGTTAACAGGAAATGGGATTGCAATAAATTTTTGTTTTATATTTAAAATAGCTACACAGAATGGCAATATCTAAGTGTCTGCATATCATGGAATAAGCTGGGATTTTATTATCCACTTGACTACACATCTCAAAACCTTAACCTTTAATTTATTTAAATATATATTAATTTGTTAATAGAAATTTAATGTATGCATTTGCGTACTTATTTTAAATTGTTTCCCTATAGAGTTCACACATGCTTGAAATAACTTTATAGGTTTTAACTTATGTACCCGTATTATAAATATTAACCTTGGCTTCAGCCTTTTTTTTGGTATCTTTTGTCATCCATGTATTTTCCTCAAGCAGTTCTTTGAATGCATTGGAGAGGTCCACAATCATTGATTTGAGCTAAATAAAAAAATATTATGTACACTTACTAAATCTATTTAATTTATTTTTGAAATAATTTTTTCTCTGAAATACTATAGTAAGTTTTTAATAAATGAAGGGACTGCTTTCAAGCTATGTAAATGAATGAAATAGTGAAACGAGGTATGTGGAAGCTTGAAATAAGGTAACAGGACAAAAAACAAGGACGTTTCGGCATAAAGCCTTCCTCAGCCAACAATAGAAATGAAAATATAACAAAGTAAGTTTTTACAAGTCTAAATATTATACAAATTACACTATATTTTGCATTCAACTGACTAAAAACCTTAAATAGGGGAAAATCTGTCATCCATGCATATTCAGTCCCCCAGAAGCAGTGACAAGTAAGAAAAGACAAAAATATGAAAGCCTTATCAGAAGCCTAAATTACATATTCTCTGGCATCTTTGCTGAAGTATTGGTCTATGTACATCCGACTGACGGCATCTGGGAAGAATTGGATAGCGCTTTCAACACATTTTTCCCATCTTTGTTGTGGTTTTGTCCCTTGAGTTTCCTGAAAAATCCATTGCAAATTGACAGAGAGCTTTTTACATTATTCCTCTTCAAAATTGCTCCTTTAATTTTTTTTTTTTTAAATTCCTCTCTTACAATCTTAGCTTGACACTAAACTCTTAATCCTATAACTATAATCATTTCTATACAAACCTAGAATTTATACCTAGATATCTTTTACCACTCTTTACAAGGAAAACTACTTTGACAATAACAAGTTTATTTGGATGTGATTTTATTTCTGTACAATGTTTTATCCTGATGTTAATTATTTTTTTTATTAAAGAAGGCTTTTACTATTATACATTTACAACACATTATCAGTAACATTACGCTCTGATAACTTGATAAACAATAACTTATTCTTTTATAAGTTTAAAAAAAAAAAAAATAAGACATAAATGTTGACAAGCTAGTTAAAAACTTCACAAAAATTAATTGTTTATATCCCTTTACCCTCATTTACTTAATGCAATAATGGTATAGGTTTTTGTTTCCTTACTTTTGAAACATCTTCACTCACCTCAATGACCTTATCACCAATAGCAACAAAGTCTGATCCAAGAGCTTCAGTGAACACCAGCAAGTGAGACATGAGATAGTTTGCCAAGACTCTGTAGAACAAAAAGACAACACAGGTTTCTTCTTTTGTGGGGTGCCGACCAAAACATTTAATATTCTTAAAATACAAGCTGAGGTGCTTTTTTTTTTTTTAAAGAAATCTATTAACGCTATTATAGTTCATTGGTAGCCCAACGTAACCAAAGCAGGGGAGATAATGTATGCTAATCATCACTGATCAGAAATATGATTTCTGTTTATGAAATCTAGCTTTTATAAATATTAGTTAATCTACATAAAAAATCTTTATTGAACTTAAAATGTTTTTTTGGTTCTTTTTAAGAATTAATTTGACATTTTACTACATATATTCAAAATAGGAAACATGAGGATCTACCAAACTATAAAAAATTAAAATGTCTGTCCACAATAATCTGTGCAACTAAATAGAAAAATTTCATTTAGCAGTAAAATAAAATGTTTTTTTGAAGCCAGACTGAGAAGAAATCATCTACATTTTATTATACTAATTATTAATACCTTTTTGATGTAGCATTCAGCAGTGGACCCAGCTTCTCTAGGTAGAGGGGCTCTTCATTAATGACAATCTCGTCAAAACGAATGAAACCAGTACCACCATAAGATTCTATCATCCCTTGAAACAATTTCTGCCAGTTCACCTGTTATAAAGAATACAAAATTAAATATTTAAAAACAGAAGTAGTTTAAATTTAACACCAATATTCATGTAGTGGGCCACTTAAAGAAAAAAATAATTAATTACTCGATCAACTTAGTTTATTATTAGAAACAAAATACATTTTAATAGTCACCTGATTAATATTTAACCCATCTCCCTTTATAGAAGATAAACAGATTTCGAGATAAGAAAAGATAAGGCTACATAGCTGGGTCTTAATTTTATATCAGTTCCCCCCTCCCACCACCCTTTTAAAAATTTTATAACATATGCAGCCAACCTCAATTTAATTTCAAAATATATTTCCAACACCTCCCCTTGATAAAAAAAGCTAATAAAAGTACAACTAAATCTGATTTTCTGGGTCTTCTTGCATCCCCTGTAACCAGGATCTAAGCTAACCTGCAGGTGTATAAGATTCAATATGAGGCAAAGTTATAATTTAAATGAAAGGGATTTTAAATTGCTTAATGCTTTTTTTATGTAGTTATTGATTTAATTTAGACAAGAGGCTTTCAACTTTTCTCATATTTCAGCTTCTCTTTTTCTGATTTCTCTTCCTTACCTCAGTTCTTGTAAACAAGTTGATTAATGCAAAAATTATTATCATATAAAACATTCCATTTAAAGAATAATATGAACTTATTCTACTATTGGTAATTTTTTTTACAAGTCTTTTTTATGAGATCCCTTACTTACTTGGTTTAAACTTACATGACATCTATAAACACACAAAATAGTGTTAGTTCTAGAATCTCCTACTACTCTGTGGAGCCAAAACTTGGAAAACAACAGCGAAGAAAGCACAGACCTGCCTAAAAACTTGCTTTAGAAAGATCCTGAACATCAACTTGCCAAACACCATTACCAACAAAGACTTACTGGAAAGGACAGACCAGAAGCCTATTGCTGAAGACTTCATAAGGGAATGATGCCAGACTTTTTGTAAACCCCAGTAAAAATCAACAGACAATCCCTAATATGGAATCCACAGAAAAAAGAATGAGAGGACACCCTAAGAATACATGAAGACACGAGCTAGAGGCAGACACACAAAACATAGGATACACCTGGAAGCAAGTGGAGAGGAAAGCATGACATGTCTTGTAGACAGCCTATGCCATAGGCAGAAGTAAGTAAGTAAATATTAGAATTTCCAGCCAGAGATAATAACTTTGATTTTGATCACTAATCATTGTTGACTGCGAATATTAACTAAGTAATTTTGTCTTTAAGTTATTACAAGCATAAAATACTGAAAAATTAATTCCCTTAAAAGTAGGTCAGTTCACTAAACCTAAATACGGTACTTCTAATTAGCCTGAGAAACCAAAAAAAATAAAAATGCATTTTGCACACAATTCTATAAAAACTATTGATAGGCTATAATGTGAATAAGCATACCCTGCTTTAAATTTTAAAACAGTTCTTTACTAAACATCTACACTGAAAATTAAGGCAGGAGATTTCTACGGATAAAAAAAATTCATACCCATGTATATTTGGCGTTCATCATTGCCACAGTCATACGATTGTCTTTACTTTCAAAATCGATCTTTGCCTCCTCAGCTGGTATCAGCTGCAATACACATTGTCTCAAAATTAAAAAAACAATGACTACAATTTTATCTGTTAATGCAAGCAATGTCATGTTTCAAAGGCTGCCAAAAACTACATAATGTGTATATTGACAAGACTCTCACACTCTTCATTTATATATAAATAAAAAAATAATTTTTAAAAAAGTATCTATTCTTGTTGAAAAAAAATCAAACTAAGCTATCCAAATAAAGTTTATGACAGATTTTCTTTCTTTGTCATAAAAAAAACAACATTTGCACACAAAGATTTTAAAAATAAAAATGGCATCGGATAACCAATATTATCAAATTCATTGGTATAATTTAATTACCTTTGCAAGCTTCTCAGCAAATTCCATAATGTCCTTGACCTCTAATTCTGCTGAGCTTCTGTTGACTCCAAGTTTGACAAGATTTTCCACCAGACTTTGCTCATATAATTTCTGGGGGAACCTTGAACTAACCTATTTAAAATGTTTTCAGTGTACAAATACATGCAAAGTCAAAATTTACAATCTTTAATTTTATAGTTGTAGTGTTAGGAAAATGATAAATTACATAACAAATTTAAAATCCATTTAATTGTTAAAAAAAGATTTTTGAATAAATCTTTGTAGCACTCCATCCAAAAACAAAGATTTCATGTTAATAATGCATTTTTAATAAGCTTTCAAAAAAATAGAAATAATAAAACAATATTTCATTAACAATAAGTAATAAATTAAAATGCAATGAAGTCATGCATTAATATGTTAAAGATTTTGTTTGGCTTGTTAATCTGCAAAAAAAAAAATAACAACACTGATGTAATAATGAACTACTTAATATTTAAAATCACTGCTAAATAAATTTTGTTGCATTTATTTACATATAGCCTTAAAATGTTGATGGAGAAAATCTTTCAAATTAAATAGAAATAACAATACTTACATATATTCTGTTGCTTTCAGCACTCCTTAAATCTCTGCTAACACTATATCTGATCAATGGATCAACCTCTATAAAATGAAGAAAGCATAAATACCAGTAGGCCAATTGAAAACCCCTAACAGTCACCATAGGGGCTCAAATAATACAGGGTTTGGACTATGATAAATTTTTAAATTTCAGTTGATTAATAAGACGCATAAAATTGGTGTATGGCAAATAAAAGAGTCACGTTAAGCTTCAATTAAATACACAATACACATTTAAGATGTCTCAGTACAACTTTGATAAAAACTAAAATTGCAGTAATTTAAATTAAGGCTCCACAAGAAAATGTTTTTCTGTCAGATTTGTTCTTAACTTTAAATCTTTGATTGATATTTTAGAGATTAAATTCTTGTTATATAAGTCTCCTTTGCTGAAAGTACACATTAAAAATGTAATTGGGGCCCTTTAACTAATGCTGTAACACTTACTGAGGTTATGTAGTTTAATTATGGTATCCTCAAAATCAAAGTCTGTTTCATTCCAAGAGGAATCCAGTGCTGGAAACTTCCCAACTTCTTTAACAAGCTTAAAGAATGGTTCTGCACCTCGCTCATTCAGTGTGTCTTAAATAATTGAGGAAATTAAGTATCTATAAAAGAAGGTTTCTTAATACGCCTTAAATAACATCTTTACATGCATTAAATGTTATATCAGGAAATTTGTCAGAACGGAATTTTGTTCAAAATGAAATTGTTCAATTGAGACTTATTTTTCAAAATGTCATTTAGGGAAGGTGCTAGAGTTAATGAAGGTGTTAGAGCTAGTGAATGTGTTAGTAAAGGTGCTTGTGAAGATGCTAGTGAAGGTGGTAGAGTTAATGAGGGTGTTAGAGTTAGTGAAAGTGCTAGTGAAATTGCTATTGAGAAATGGGAAAGATATAAACTTTGTAATAAAATTTATTCAAATTTCCATTAGAACAATATTCTGTCAAAATTCTTTCAAAAAACTTTCTTATAACTTTTAATTACACATAAAGAAGAAAGATATCACTCATATATCTAAAATATAGGTACAAGTTTTCTACATTTGGATCATGGGGGGTTGGGGGGAGGGGGGGGGGGGGGTCTTCTCATGCTAAAGAATAATCAATGAGAACATTAAAAAAAACTTGCCATTGTTAATTTAAATATGAGAAAAAAAATCATCAGGCTTCATGAAATTTTCAACAAGGAAAAGATTTTACTATTTTAATATTTTGGTTTGTTCAAACATACTCAGTATCTGAAAGCAACATTATAGGGATTGACTACGGTGCTGCATACATAACAACTGTCAAATTTTATTACAAGTACACACATTTCTTTTTTCTTCTGAAAATGCTGAAGATTGTGCCACTTTATCGAATTGGTCCCCACATCCTTTCACTGGTTACTGTCTACAAATGATAAGTAAATAAAACCTCTGATTTTAAACTTTGTGTCACTTGTAAAATAACAATCTTTAAATCTTGGATGCTTGAGAGATTTTCATTAACTTAATGAATTTGAAAAGGAGCAACTCAAATTAGTACCATTAAAAATGACATTGACTTTAATGAAGCAATAACATATCAAATGTCATCAGATAATTTGTGACATTCACCTGTCATGGAGTCATCTACATACTGATGTTACTTGATTACAAAAAACTTGATTGTATCTTGTACTTACTCAAGTCCAAACAAGCTGCATAAAATTTACGAGGCTGCGTTTTGTAAACTGGATCATCTTCTTCTCTTTGCTCCAAGAGAGCTAAGGTCAAGAGAAATTGACATTTTTCAGTACGTGAAAGAAAGGTAAATAGGTATTACATGGAATTTATTTCCACTATTGACTTTAAATGGAGACAGTAAATTCAATTTTGAAACAATTAATAATGCCCATTAAGCTTAAAAAAATTTTTTTCGATGATGTTTTTGAGGGAATGCTTAAATATTTTAGGTTTTTTAAATTATGTGTGATCATGTGTGTGATCATGGTAAAAAATATTATCATTATGGCTTTCATCTTAAATAGTCATTAGATTTTAGTCTGTCAGTTAATGTCATACAATATATTGATTTTTTCAATATTGAATTTTATTTTAACAGACTATTGTCACAGAATAACAATCAGATGCTGAGCATCGATGCAGCACTTACTTTTAATTTTTATTGCATTACTGTCACCTATCAGAGTTTCCAAATCAATTTTTGACTTGTCCGGGGCCAGCACCTGACTTTTCAGCCAGCCACCACACGCATACTGGTAGAAGTCATCACAGGGGTTGACACTCTCATCTATGTACGACCTCAGCCGAGCCGCTGCAACAGTAATAGCTTTATCTACATATGCTTTTGCAATTTAATATAAATAATATAAATATTCCTCGATCACATACTAAAATTATATCATGAAGTATATTTGTTAATGTTTGAATGATGAATTTATTTATTATATTTATTTTGCTTTGTTTGTTTGCAAACGGGGTGGGAAGTTTAAAACAGTTTAACAATTAATTCTGTTATTGCATGGTAAGTAAATATATTTTTGTATTATTTAACAAATTGTACATAGAAACTTTTTTTGAACTCTCTAAAAGGCATGTTTAAACACAATGAGTCAATTTGAAAGAAACGGACTGCACAATAATATGATTACCTGATTTGACACATGAATCTGTCAAGCAAGTTACTGAAATGAAGAATAAAAAAGTAGATAAGTACTTTAAGAATTGTGACTTTTCCTCTGTAAAATAATTGATAAACATAAATATATAACCTTCAATTTTAATGTCACATTTTTCATTGTAAGATTGCTGTTCAACATGAATCTTTGTCTGCAATGACTCGTATCCTGGCTTTCTGCAATGACTTGTAATACTTGTAGTATCTTTTCTTTAAAGACTTGCAGGGTCGGATAAACCTATCGGAAAAGTAATCACATGCTACTGGAAGGCTTTCAGGGGCCTGGTGATAAATATCAAATTAAAAAAAGTTTTTTTTTTTTGCATTGTTTCTCTTTGAGTTCATAACGATGACAGATTATCAAAATTAACTAAAACTACACAAAGTTTTAGAGATAGGCCTAATCTTCCTGAAGACAAGTGATCTGGAGTTTGCATACGAATTTCTGCATTTCATGAAGTCTGAATTGCATAACGTAGTTGGAACAATCTCATAAAAACAGTTCCAGGTTTATAATGACTAATGATCACGAACTGGTGAATGAACCTTTTCAGGGTCTCCTTCAATTCTAAATACGTATTTTGTAACTATTACCCTATGTGAGAAATTGTCTTTATCGATAACATTTAAAATAATAAAACTTGGACATCTTTTTTTGACACCTTCTACATTAAATACGGCATCTTCATCTTCCAATAAATCTTGAAAAATTTTCATCCCCAGCAAATTATTGCACATATTTGAACATTTGTTAATTAGTCTGATCACAAAATATATAGGCATAGGCCTATATAATAATTTCGTTGCGTGCCAACTGCTTCATCTTTCTGGGATTGCAAAGCAGTGTATCAGTGAAAAAAAAATCTATTAAATTGGCATATTATTTCAGAAAAAACAAAATCCAATCTAATTTTTAAAAATAAAATGATGATGAAGTGCCGCTTAAAAACATTCCAAGTTCTTTGTCTGTTACTGTTTATTGTCAGAAACAGTCCTGTCCTTAATCACGTGTTTCCTGTCTTCAATGACGTGTTTCTGTTTAGTAAGTAACCTTTTTCCATTTCGTCGATGACGTGTTTAGATCAGACGAAAGGAAATTTATATCAATTGCCATTTCAATTCTCTGTAGATTAAAAGATCATTCATGACGGTCACGGTTTAAGTTAAAATATCAACAGTGAAATAGTTATTTTGTATAGGCCTACCGTGTACAGCTGACCAGCTATTTTTAATTTATTGAAAGCGTTTCGTACCAAATATTTAAAAAAAAAAAATCATAAAGAACCGATGTAAAAAAAAACAAAAAACGGGACCATTGGTAATCGATGCATTGTATTTAAGTATTATTTAAGACGCCTTCTTTCTGTGTTATTTCATGATTGGAAGAAACAAAAAGAAAAAAAAAGTGGGAGGAGGGGGGAACAACAACAAACGAAAATCATTAGAAACGTAAATGAAATATTATTAGCAATAAAAAGACTTCGAATTATTACTTCAGCGAAATTTAAGTTTTTTTATAACTGTAATACCGACTTCGCCCTTTCCCTAGCCCCTGCCAACGCACACACTTATACACCGTTTCCCCGGCTCAACCCTTTTCTTTACGCCAACGGCCTCCTCACTTTTAAGCCGTACCTGAGGAGCACTCCAATTTGGCGCCAATAAGGCAAAGTAATTTTAATTACTTCTTGTGTAGCTATATATGCTATGCTTTTTTTTAAAAATCCTTAGTTTGCATCCTCCTGCATTTTTTTTTGGAATTCAAATGTTACCAGTTAGGCTCATGCTGTGTGTCTGAGTTTCTCTAGTAGAGCTAGCAATGCTGAAGTTGAGTGACTGGATGGAGTGTCTTATTAATTCGTGTCTTTAAATAATATCTTGACCCTATAAATTGCTCATTGACAATTATTATCTCCTGTGTACATTGATACAAATAGTATTTGGGTTATTCATATCACTTTTTTTTTCTATATGTGAGGGCCCACCATCAATTTATTGATTATCCTGACTCCTGATTGGAATTCAGCGTTTGGGGATTGAAATCCTGACCACCAGCTACTTGGGATTGAGCCAGTTTAGACCACTCAGCCATACAAAAAATTCCTAAATTTTAGTTAACTTTAAAAAAAAAATGCATACAGATATGGAAATAAAAAGCAGGAGCTTTATATCACCACATGATGTAAAACTATTTTGACAGAAAATTCTATCGAGCTTTATAACAGCAGGCCTATCTCTATCTTACTCTCTCACCAATTCCCATAAACCATTTTGACAGAAAATTCTATCAAGCTTTATAATAGCAGACCTATCTCTATCTTACTCTCTCACCAATTCCCATAAACCATTTTGACAGAAAATTCTATCGAGCTTTATAATAGCAGACCTATCTCTATCTTACTCTCTCACCAATTCCCATAAACCATTTTGACAGAAAATTCTATCGAGCTTTATAATAGCAGACCTATCTCTATCTTACTCTCTCACCAATTCACATAAACCATTTTGTCAGAAAATTCTATCAAGCTTTATAATAGCAGACCTATCTCTATCTTACTCTCTCTCTCCAATTCCCATAAACCATTTTGACAGAAAATTCTATCGAGCTTTATAATAGCAGGCCTATCTCTATCTTACTCTCTCTCCAATTCCCATAAACCATTTTGACAGAAAATTCTATCGAGCTTTATAACAGCAGGCCTATCTCTATCTTACTCTCTCACCAATTCCCATAAACCATTTTGACAGAAAATTCTATCGAGCTTTATAACAGCAGGCCTATCTCTATCTTACTCTCTCACCAATTCCCATAAACCATATTGACAGAAAATTCTATCGAGCTTTTTTAATAGCAGGCCTATCTCTATCTTACTCTCTCACCAATTCCCATAAGCTGGAGATGGCAAGCGTTTGTCTTGGTGTCTCCTTGTGAACGGTTCTTGTGTCTTATATAATATGAATCCGAAAGGGTGAGTTACGCTGTTAATTAAAGCTTTTGTATTTCATGACGTACATTGAGATAACAATTCTTATGCTGCCCTCGCGGAAACTACATTGTCTACATGTCAACTAAGTTGTTTTTTTTTAATTTAATTCTGTCTCTGCTATTGTTTGTTCGCTGATGAAGGCTTCCTGTCGACACGTTCATTGTTTTGTTGCTTTCATTTTTTTCAGTTTCTCCTATACTTTGTTACACTCATTTCCTGTTTTGCAAACCCGATTGCAGTATCTTCCCCTTCTTACCATAAAATAATCACCGTGCCTCCTATTCATATAATGTTAAACTCGCCACTGTTTTTTACATTAATGAACTAAAAATGCTGGTTGAGCCAATCGTTTTTACCCTCAGGTGGTGTGGAGAAGAAGTAAAAGACAAGGAAGGCGGCGATGAACCCCAAGAGGATAATAAGGATGATGACGACGAGCACGACGAGGACTTTTTCCAATGTGCTTCTCTTGTCCATGCATCCTTGTCGAGGAGGAGGGGCTGTTGGGGGGATGGGCGTGGCTGTCTGGGTGACAGGCTGGGTGACAGCAACTTCCTCTGGTGGAGGGGGCGGGGGCTCTGGCTCCACGCTGGAAATAAAACAATCGCAAATTTAAATAAAACAAATTCCGAAACAAAACAATGAAATATTGAAATAAACAATCAATGATTGAACAAAAAAAATCAAAGAGTGAAGTAAAAAAATCAGGCGCGTCATTTATAAATCAACCACCTTCAAAATGTAAACAAAAAAAAATGTGTTGAAAAGTCGGCACCCATGTCAAAGTCGGCACACATGTAAAAATTGGCGCACATGTCAAAGCTGGTGCACATGTCAAAGTCTGCACACACGTCAAATTCGGTGCACATGTCTAAGTCTGCACACAAGTCAAAGTCGGCACACATGTCAAAGTCGGCACACATGTCACAGAAATGTTCAAACTTTTAACACATAAGGAAACAAAAATAATCTTAAATTCTTTTTTTTAATGAGTATTTTCTTGGGCCCTTTTGAATGATCTATTGACCTTTGACATTGAAGGATATGAGGGACATACGAGCCCATTGAAAGTCTTCGGTTAAAGTTGTGATCTGGATTTAATTTCTATCATGTGGTTTTTTAAAATCTCAACAATAATGCAGCCATTAAAACGATCTGTAGAAATCCTTAATCGCTAAACCAATGCCGTAGCATGTGATTCCCGTAGAATCACTGAACCAAGGCTGCAGATAAGACTTCTGGTAGAATCCATGAACCAAGACTGTAGAATAACACACTCAAGATCCAAACACACTCAAGAATTACCGTCCCGTCAGCAACCTCTCCTTTCTCTCAAAAATCATAGAAAAACTCATACTCTCTCAGCTCTCTGGCTATCTTCATTCTCGCAATCTCTATCCTTCCTCTCAGTCCGCCTACCGACTTGGACATAGCACAGAAACAGCACTGGTCCGAGTCATGAGTGACCTCCTGCGCGCGATGGACGATGGCAAACTCTCTATTCTCACTCTGTTAGATCTCTCTGCTGCATTTGATACCATTGACCACCAGATTCTTCTTGACCGCCTTCATCTTTCTTTCGGACTTACTGGCTCAGCTTTAAACTGGTTTCAATCATATCTTTCTGACAGAACTCAAAAAGTCTCTATTTCCAACCGCTCTTCCAAACCTTCAGCCCTGTCTATTGGAGTTCCTCAAGGATCGGTCCTTGGGCCGGTCCTTTTCATCCTCTACACTAAACCTCTATCATCTCTCATTAGCCACCACTCAGTTTCCAGTCAATCCTTTGCTGATGACACTCAAATCAGTGACTCTTGCTTTCCTGATCAACTTGATGCCACAATCCTTCGCATACAGGAGTGCGTGGACGATGTAAAGCGTTGGATGACTTGCAACAAACTGAAGCTAAATGATGATAAAACGGAAATCCTTCTCATCCACTCTCAAAACAAACCTCTCCCTCCATTCGCTCCTTCTTCTATATCTATTGGCAACTCTGACATCACACTCTCTCCCTCTGCCAGAAACCTTGGAGTCACGCTTACGGACACCCTCTCCATGGACAAACATGTCACGAATATATGCAGATCAGCATATAACGAAATTAGAAAAATCAGCACCATTAGACACCTCCTCTCCTTTGATGCCACAAAAACTCTCGTCTCTTCACTCATTCTTTCAAAATTTGACTACTGTAACATTCTTCTCTCAGGCATTCCTCAACACCACATAGAAAAACTTCAGAAGGCACAGAACTCAGCATGCAGACTCATTTTTAAATTAAAGAAACATGACCACATTCAACCACACATGCGGCAACTCCACTGGCTTCCAATATCCTCTCGCATCAAATACAAGTCTTCCAATCTTTGCTTCAACTCGTTCACTGACCCTCACTTTCCTGTCTATCTCTCTGATCTGTTGCTTCCTTACATCCCCACAAGACAACTACGTTCTTCCATTGACAGTAGAACCCTCTCAATCCCAAGAACTAAAACTAAGACCATCGGTGAACGCTCCTTCTGCTTCCATGGGCCCACGTTCTGGAACCAGCTCCCCTTCCATATACGTCATAGTGAAACCTCGTCCATTTTCAAAAAGTCCCTTAAAACTCATCTGTTTAGGTCCGCCTATGACCTGTGATGCACCCTCCTTGCCCTACCTCATTTTCTGTTTCGGGTTGATCCTGAAGTGTCAAAGTGTCCTCGTTTTATAGCCATTTTCATTGTTTCTATAGAATAGTAGTTACTATCCTAGTGTCTCATTTTTATTTTACTTAGTTTACATGTTTTAATAATTGTAAAGCGCTTAGAGCTTTATGATAAGCGCTATATAAAAATGCCTAAATAAATAAATAAATAAATAAATAAGAATTCCTCCCGTAGAATCACTGAACCAAGTTGGTAGAATAAGAATTCCTGTAGAATCACTGAACAAAGACTGTAGAATAAGAATTCCTGTAGAATCACTGAACCAAGACTGTAGAATAAGAATTCCTGTAGAATCACTGAACCAATGCTGTAAAGAATAAGATTTCTTTTAGAATCTCTGAACCACGTATGTAGAATAAGGATTCTTGTAGAATCACTGAACCAAGGCTGTTGAATAAGAATTCCGGTAAAATCACTGAACCAAAGCTGAGGCAAAAGAATTCATTCTCCGTGTTTAAAATTCATGTTGTAGGGTCACGTGTACTGAGGTAGGGTCACGTGTACTGAGGTAGGGTCACGTGTACTGTTGTAGGGTCACGTGTACTGGTGTAGGGTCACGTGTACTGTTGGAGGTTCATGTGTACTGTTGTAGGTTCACGTGTACTTATGAATCGTTCTTTCACAATCATAAATTTGAAAATAACATAAAATACCGGTGTTTAAAAAATGCATACTTTCTATTTCAAGTGTTGATATTATGTTAAGTAAAATTAAACAAAATATAGTAGGATCTACTGGACGAACTGAAAAAAAAAGGTGTAGGGTGGGAAGGGGAGGTCAATTTCAGGCTTTTGTGTAGAGTTTGGGAATCTCTGGCAATGCCAAATAGCTCAGAAAGCCAGCGACACTTTTTTTTAAAACCATGACGTCCTAATTGTCTATAAATAAATTCATTTTGTTGGATTTTTGTAGGGGGTGGAAATCAAAAGCTACTCTGTACGTGCTCTGGCGGGTTGTCCTAAAAAGTACGCGTGCAACAGGGTTGGGGGAGGGGGGTGTAGAAATTTGAACTTTTTTGCACGCGTTCTTTATGGATATAACTTTGTTGTGCCCGATCACCATTTTTTGGTGAACCTGACAATAGCGCCAATTTTGCTTTGGTCCTAATGGTTTGTGCTATTGACAGGTTTCAATATACAAAATTAAAATATGATTCATTTGGTAGACTATTTGACTATCTCCCAAAATTTATGTTGTCAAATGATTGTGTTTTCATTTTGAGATAAAAAAAAAAATAAGATCAGTAACAAAACAAAAAAAATCAGCTGTATCCATTATAAATTATAATATTGATAATTCAGTAACATTTGATACCCCCAACCCCAAATTATTTTTTTTTAAGAAGAAGAAGCCATCTTAACGCCAGTTTCTCAATTTCTATAAATAATCCTGGTTTGGTGCTGCAATAGCTCGGAAAATGTTCCCAAGTGGTCGTGGCACTAAAAAGTTTGAGAACCGCCTGCGCTCCTGGGACCGCTGCTGGCTTTGGAACACACCAAATCTTACACTTACATCTCCTGCAAGTTGGGAATGGTGGTAACAATATCGTCCGTGAGTCATGTCACGTCATTGGTCTATATTTAGGACTGAGAGTATTTGCTTGAGATCACGATATTGAAAATTTTGCTCTTGACATTTGAAACTTAACGTGAAACTTTAATGTAATAACATCCGAAGCTGTAGATATTTCTAAGTTTTATTCACGAGATCAACAAACTAAGCGATCTATGTTAAGACCGAAGCTATATATTTCTAAATTGTCTTTACTTTATGACAACAACAAAATATGCGATCTATGTTAAGACTGAATCTATATATTTCTAAATTGTCTCTATGACAACAACTAACTAAGCGATCTATGTTAAGCCCTTCGTTATTTTTGGAGAAGAGAGTAAAAATGCGGCCGCCTCCTGGCTATTGTGCCGAGATTATATTAGTACCACACGACACGTTTGCCCTTTTAGGTGCAAGTAAACAATGCATTCTGGGATTCCTGGTTAGCGTAGACGATGGGCGCCCTCTGAGTTAGATTTGATATTGGGGAGATTAACCAATGGGAGCCACATTTTCTGTGCTGGGGTGGAGCTGTTTTTAAACAGGAATACATTGTCTGAAATAGTTTATAGCACTGTGTAGTGTTGTTTAAACAAAATACACTGTCTGAAATAGTGTGTAGTACTGTGTAATGTTATTTAAAAATAATACATTGTCTGAAATGGTGTGTAGTACTTTATAGTACTTTGTAGTACTATGTAGTGTAGTTAATCAATAGTACGTGTGCTCAATTCTGAATTCAGTCAGGGTGCTTGCAGGAATTTTTCTTTTCCTTTTTTTTTCGGGTGGAGGAAGAGAGAGGAGTGGGACTAGAGAGAGGAGTGGGGGAAGAGAGAGGAGTGGGTGAAGAGAGAGGAGTGGGTGCAGAGAGAGGAGTGGGAGAAGAGAGAGGAGTGGGACTAGAGAGAGGAGTGGGTGAAGAGAGAGGAATGGGAGAAGAGAGAGGAATGGGGGAAGAGAGAGGAGTGGGGGAAGAGAGAGGAGTGGGAGAAGAGAGAGGAATGGGGGAAGAGAGAGGAGTGGGAGAAGAGAGAGGAGTGGGAGAAGAGAGAGGAGTGGGAGAAGAGAGAGGAATGGGGAAGAGAGAGGAGTGGGGGAAGAGAGAGGAGTGGAAGAAGAGAGACGAATGGGGGAAGAGAGAGGTGTGGGAGAAGAGGGAGGCGAGGGAGAAGAGAGAGGAGTGGGAGAAGAGAGAGGAGTGGGAGAAGAGAGAGGAGTGGGAGAAGAGAGAGGAATGGGGAAGAGAGAGGAGTGGGGGAAGAGAGAGGAGCGGAAGAAGAGAGACGAATGGGGGAAGAGAGAGGAGTGGGAGAAGAGAGAGGAGTGGGAGAAGAGAGAGGAGTGGGAGAAGAGAGAGGAGTGGGAGAAGAGAGAGGAGTGGGGGAAGAGAGAGGAGTGGGGGAAGAGAGAGGAGTGGGATTTTAGACGTTCTTTAAAAACTTGATCTCCCACATATTTAGATAGTCATAATATTGCCTGACAGTAATTAATTCCATGCAGTTCTTTAACAACATTTAGTTTCTAGCAGTAACTTTACTAGCGAAGATAAGGCATTTAATTGTTAACAAGAGCAGACAGAACCTGACACGTGCTAATGTTATGCTGTGGAGACTGGGTTCAAACGATAGAAAGGGGAATATGCAGCACACGATATGAGAACCCTTGAGAACAGAACAAACAGCACAGCAAAAATCATTTCTTTAAACTCTCCCCACCCCCAACCACCTCACACACACACACACTTGGAGTGCTCTCTATTTCCGGACACACTGCTGTAGTTAGTAGAAGATGGGGGCAGGATAACCTCAACAGATTTCAAGCTTGAGTGTAATATGCCAATACAGTCCAAACCAAATGAACGTATTGAGTTACAGTCTAGGCCTCTCACAGGACATCATGTGCCCCTAATTAACACATCCGTACTTTAATTAATTCGCATAAATAATTGGTTTATGGCATCTGAATTTCAGTTGATGTGAGTGAAGACATGTGTTTAGTATGACATACAGAACAGAGTCTAGTTTTATTTGTTTCTAATTAATATTTTGTTTAGCTCTCTTTGTATTGCGTTATTTGATTCGGTTCAAGGCCAAGAAACGCCGATAAAAATATGAATTGGAACGCAACGCTACTGAGGACTGTTTCAATTCGTATTTGAGAGAAGGGTTCTCAGCCTGGGAAATACGGTTGTTCAAGTGTTTTATGGCTATATTTCAGGTTTTATGGATATATTTAAAGGTTTATGGATATTTTTCAAGGTTTGTGGATATACTTCAGGGTTTATGTAAACATTTCAGGTTTTATGAAAAAAAATTCAGGTTTTATGGCGATATTTCAGAGTAATGGATATATTTAAGGATTATAGATATATTTCAGGGTTTGTGGATATATTTCAGGGTTTATGGATATCTTTCAGGGTTTGTGGATACATTTCAGGGTTTCACTTAATCGTAATTTTGAAGAATTGATCTTATTTATTTTCAATAACTTAACACTTACAGTAAAACAACCTGTAGGTATGATCTTGAGGAATCTCTCACTTCAGTTTTTGCATTGCAATCCTATAGATAGTGTGTTAATAAATTGTGTTTATGGAAGATGGGAAACGAAACGGAAACAATACGGTCAATACTATTTGTCATTTCATGGGGTAATAAGGGGAGAGACTGCAATCAGGTTAGTACAAAATAAAATGAGTAAAACAGAGTATGGTTAAACCTGAAAAATTAAACGCAACAAAACAGCGAACGTGTCGGCAGAAAGCCTTCGTCAGCGAACAAAACAACAGAAAAAACGTTATAGAAATAAGAAATAGCACTTAGCTGGTAAGTAGTATCTGTGGGCAGCAATAGAAGTGTGGCAGAAGGAAAATGAGTGAGAGTTTAAATAAGCAGCGGCGAAAAAAAGGGGGGGAGAAAAGGTTCACTGTGATAGGTCAGAACGTGGAGGGGTGGAGCTAGGGTCAAGCTGTGAACAGAGACATAACATTAATCCCATCTGGCGTCAAAGTTGCAGGAATTGTCATTGTATGCGCCTTACGGAACTCCAACTCCGGGTTCGAATTCAGAGTTTCTTTCTCTTAGATGAATAACCGAGTCTCATCCACCCGGGGTGATGTTTTTGCTTGAATTGAACTCCAGACCACTCACTTGAAGTTTGCTCAGTTAAGACCATTGGGCCACCAATGTATACGGAAATCATCTGTTGGAAGCTTTTTTACGAAAAAAATGACTGAAAATAGAAACATTACGTAATGCGATGTCACGATTTCCATTCTTAGAAAAGACAAAATCTATACCGGAAATAGAATATTAAAATTTTTTTTTTTACAGTATTTATACAGTATATATACAGTATTTATGTGAAATATGAATGATAAGCACATATCGTAATTATGAAACCAACATTTCTTTATTTGAACTCATCCTAACTTTGTTCTAATATGACCTAGTGTTAATTTCGAGGTATCACTTGCACACGTGACTGTTTCAATGCAGCTTCTTCTTGAGGCCAAGATCGTCTACGACACACAGGAATCACACGTTGATTAAGAGAGCGTGCGTATGGTGAATGACGTAGCATATGCATAATTTTATTTTTAAACGAAAATAATTCAAGAGTATTCTTAGTTTTGAAAATGTCGTATGTGTGAGATCTAAGTGTGCTTTACTATGAACACCCCCCCCCCCCAGTGACCTATTTCGCCTCCTCCAATACAAAAGACAATAATCTATATGATCTACTGCCACGACCATCTCGTGAGTTTGACAACCCACGGGCCTGCAGGAGGCCTTGGATATTCAAGGGGCCCAAAGTTGTGATGTGGAAGAAAAAAGAAAATCAAGTTTGAATTAAAAAAACTAAAAAATCAAAAAGAGTTAGGGAACCTAACCGATATATATATATATATATATATATATATATATATATATATATACATATACACACATTGTCATAATAATTACAAACTTATGAAATGAGAGACTGTCCAGGATTAACCCCTTCACCACCAAGTTGCTCTTTCTTTATAACGTACTATACAGGAAGGGAAAACGTCACAACTCCGGTCTTAGGTAAACTTTCGCCCTGTGCAAAACACCCCTTCCCTGTCCCTGTATGGCTCACTACAATAAACTAAGGGAATTTAAATATTTTCTGAGTGCCCCGGGTGCCCTTATGGCCACGGCGCCCTGTGCGAGGGCACATGTCGCACACCCTAAAGGCTGGCGTTCAACGTCACACTTCATTGTCATTCGTTTTTTAACCTGAAAAGTTTCACAGAATTCACCCTTGAATGTCAAAAAACAGCATGTGAATGTCACCAAGTCATCACGTGTCTGTCACTAATATCACGATTTGAATGTCACTAAATTCACTATGTGGTGGCTTATGTCATAGGGTATTTCTGTAGCGAAATGTGCTGATATTTAGACTTTTATATTAAATAAACACGTTACATTCTAAGCCAATCTATGTAGGCATTTTTCGAACCCAGCGTCTTGTCCTTAAAGAAAACTATCCATTCAATGTGTAGTTTGTTTTGCCTGGTGCATAACCTTTCTGACGTTATAAAGATTGCCTTCCCGTAAATGTTATAAATCTCACAGCTTGTGGAAGACTGGAAGAAGACAATTCTTAAGTACCTAATTTTTATTGTAGGAAGAAAAACTATCTCTGTAAACGTCTGTAAAGCTTTTAACTCTTAAAGATTAGACAGCATACAATTTTGTTTAAACGTTTTCTTATATTTCAAACATCGAACCAAGGAACTTTGCTCTTTCGCCATATTAATGTATTTTAAAAAATAAAAATAAAATAAAAAAAGAGTTTTTCTTTCCGAACATTTGGGTCAGATACGTTGATAGCTTTCTTGGCACTGCATCTGTTTTGAATTCTTGCCACGTTGGGTTTCGTATGATTTGCCTTTGGCTTACGCAAGCACTATCGCTCACAACTATTCTTCACAACAATGCCACCTTTCTAATTTGTGATGGTTGACTCGTTCAATATTTCCTACATGTCTGTTGTTGTTTGACACAGAAATAAATGCTGTGAAATTATTAGAATGAGTACGGCACTGCTTATGAGCAAGAGTTAATATTTATTTTTATTGCTTAACCCTTGATTCATGATTTAAAGGCTGTTAATATAAATAATTGTAACTTAAGTCTGATGAGCTTTTAACTCTTAAAGATTAGTCAATTAATTACATATTTGATTGGGCCGTTTGTTATGAAAGTTGTTTTAGTTTGGTATGGAAGAGACGATGATTATGGACCCCACTGAATGTCATTATTTAATGTGGAGACAGCCTTGGATATTTTGCAACTGTTGCATTCGTCAGAAAAATTTCCACCCAGAAATAACTTTAAATTAATACACAAATAAGTTTTCATGACGAGATGATGAAACTAACTTGTATCTTCAGAACTGATCAACCACACTAGAGTTCATATAGTTGAATATGAGTCCGTGTCATAGTCTAGAAACAAGGAGTGCTCTAATTTTTAAACGCACGGTTTCTTAAATTTAGCAAACTGCAAGACCTCAAATCGCATAGAAAGTCCCTGTCTGCTACAAATTAAAATAAAACTCAGAAATTCCGACGTTTGAACTCTGACCTTCCTGTGTAATTATTGGGGCGTTCTCACGTGTTGCCGTGCTTTGGCAGCTCACGCTATAAATTCTGGCCATCGGTGCACAGAAGGGCGGGTAAAGAAATGACTAGTGTGGCCAGATTTAGCACATCTGAGCATTTAAAAGAAATAATGAATCGCATACTGGGTCACAAGGCACAAGTGGGCTCCAACATTATAATATATAAATAGATAAACTTGTCAATTACGATGAAAGCTCTTTGAGTGCTGATGTAACTATGCATTTTTTGAAACAGAAAGGGAAACCAAATTTACTTCAACACATTTACATCATTTACTTAATTCATTTCATTTACTACATTCATTTTAATTACAAAATTTACTTTATTTACTACATTCACTTTATTTACCTCATCAACTTCATTTAATACATTAATTCCATTTAATACATTCAGTTCATTTAATACATTCACTTCATTAAATACATTCCATTTCATTTGCCACATTCACTTCATTAATATATTTCATTTACTAATTTACCGCATTCACTTCATTTACGACATACATTTCAATTACAAATTTACTTCATTTACTACATTCAATTCATTTACTACATCCACTCCTGTCCCAGGAGTAGTTGAGAAAGATAGAGAGTCAAAGATGATAATGACACACATGATAATAACGCTGTGAAAGGAAATTGGAGCGGTAAGAGTGACCAAATATCTTCAGCTACCTCACCGTGACCAATTGTCTTTAGTTATATTGGTCGTGGCAGCCCTTGCCTATCATTCTTATCATGCAGCCCATTAGGGGAGACCTCCTAGGCAGCCGTTTCGTCTCAGCTACGATGTGATATAATCACAAAGTAGAAACCATGTGTAGAAACCGTACAAGAGGGCGCCTGTCACCACGCCGGGATGGGAATGGGTGGATTTGGGGGACGTTAAATTATATCCCAGCCCATAGAAACTGCGACTGCAGGTGCTCTGAGAGCAGCACCGCTAGCCAACCAGGTGGAATTGAGTGGAAGGTGGGGGGGGGGGCTGTCTCAAGGGCGGAGTGCCCCAGACGTGCCACTTCGCGGCCCGCCTAGAATGACGCTGGTTGGGGGGGGGGGATGAGGGGGGACGTGGGGGAAAACTGAATGAGCGCTGGCTCGGTAGTTTGAGGTTTTTCTTAAGAGAGTTATTCAGTAATGTAAAAACAATTTAATGTTCAGCACCGCTAGCCAACCAGGTGGAATTGAGTGGAAGGTGGGGGGGGGGGGCTGTCTCAAGGGCGGAGTGCCCCAGACGTGCCACTTCGCGGCCCGCCTAGAATGACGCTAGTTGGGGGAGGGGGATGAGTGGGTACGTTGGGGAAAACTGAATGAGCTCTGGCTCGGTAGTTTGATGTTTTTCTTAAGAGAGTTATTCAGTAATGTAAGAACAATTTAATGTAATATATAATGTAAGAACCAAAAAAAAAAAAGATGATCATCTGTCATTTAATTCGAATCTTTAGTTGCCGTAGCTTGTTTTTTTCAACTTTCAAACTGCTTTCAAATCTACACGATTTACTGACTAAACTTCAATTTTCACTATCGTGGTTTCTTTTAAGAACGTCTGTCTATTATGTATGTAATTCTCTACACACTATATCTGCTTGATATAAATGTTCACATATTGTAATTGATGGATTCAATTTTTGTTTTAAGGCTCGTCTTCAGTTTAAGGACGCTTGTGTTTGATGCTTATCAGTTACATCTTGCATAAATTCCGAGGATCAGAAGAACTTGACATTCATTAAAACTTGTTTAAAAAATTCTTAAATAATAATAATGATGCAATTTAAGATTTGAAATGCATCGACTCAGTGATTGGCTAATTAAAAAGTAGGAAGTGAGTCATGGATATTTAAAAAGTAGGAAGTGAGTCACGGCTACTTAAAAAAGTTGCAAATGAATCAAATCAAGTTAACGATGTCATCCGTGTTGTAACTTCACTGAAATTCAAGTGTGTTCACATTTGTTCTACCCTCTTTTATCCTGTACTAATCATTGCCAATTTCTCTCATTCACGTAAACAACATATTTTATTCTCCACTTTCACTTCCTCATCCCCATTTCTTCTTCATGTCTTTAGTCGTTTCCTTCAACTCTCTTCTTTTCTTTGTCGCACATATTTCCCTTATGTACTAACACAAAATACCCATTCAATATGCAATAATAAAATAACATAATTCTCCCCCGTGAACATGCCAACGAATAAATTTAAACAACAACAACAACAACAAAATAAAACAACAACATTAGCGCTGTGTTGCATTATTAGAAAACTCAAAAGCATCCACTTTGAAAGGTTTCTCGGAACCTGTTATAGTACACCATAAATAAATTGTTAGCACGAGAGACCTACTTTGGAGAAGCGTTGAAATTGAAGGATATGTAGCTGCTTACTGTTTAACATTGTGTAATGATTGATAAACATTTTAAACATGTCATTATGAAGCGTACTTGTTTTACTACATTGAGACCACGACTTTAGACCACGACTTGAGACCGCGACTTGAGACCACGACTTAAGACCATGACTTGAGACCGTGTAGAGCAGGGCTCTCAAACTCAAATCATCCGGGGGCCGCAGGTGGTAGAGTCTGAGTGAAACTGGGCCGCATCAAGTATTCCACTAAGTCACCAAAGTACAACTGTTACAGTCTGTTGAACATTTATTAATAAAAAAAATAAAACCATTAAGTGTTCTCAAGACCTAGGCTTCACATTCTTCCTCCTACTCCTTGTTGCCAGAGATCTGGCAGCGCTTCTTCTTACACAGCTGAGCAACAGCTTGAGTGAGGAAGCAACTGAGACTCTCAGTATAGCTTGAAGACGCTCATCAGTAAGTTCGGCCCTGAACTTTGACTTGTTAAAGTTCATAGTGGGAAAAGAGCTTTTCACACAGATAGGTACTCTCAATTAAGGCAGACGATCAACTTGAACAACCTGGAAATCTCGGGTAAGGTGGAGGGTAATGCTCTCATACATGGTCCATGCTTGTCCGTTTTTCCATTCACCTCCCTGAACTTAGAATGGCACTGAAGATCAGTCAGATCCCTTTGAAGCGCAAGTAGGGGTGGGTGATGTAGCATCCAAATTGAAGGAGAAATGGTCAGCAAAAAGTTGAAAAGTTGCTCTGTCTGTTTTGAAGTCTAAAAAATGTAATCAAATTCTTTCTGTAGCTAGTCTTATCAGCCGGTGCTAGTTTTAGCGTTCTAAAAATCAATAAATAATTTGTGAAATAAACAGTAATGATTCCCCCCCCCCCATGTATACCCATATTTACTTTTATATTATATAAGGGTTTTAAAGAATGCTTGTTTTCAGGTGAGCCATAGTACAGTATCCAATGTCCAGGTGAGCCATAGTTCAGTATTTCATGTGCAGGTGAGCCATGTTACAGTATCCAATGTGCAGGTGAGCCTTACTACGATGTCCAATATTCAGGTAAGCATATTACAGTATCCAATATGCAGGTGAGCCGTATTACAGTATCCAAGTACAGTTGAGCCATTCTACAGTATCCAAGTACAGATTAAGCCATACTACAGTATCCAATATGCAGGTGAGCCGTATTACAGTGTCCAAGTACAGGTGAGCCATTCTACAGTATCCAAGTACAGATTAAGCCATACTACAGTATCCAATATGCAGGTGAGCCGTATTACAGTGTCCAAGTACAGGTGAGCCATACTACAGTATCCAAGTACAGATTAAGCCATACTCCAGTATCCAATATGCAGGTGAACCGTATTACAGTCTCCAAGTACAGATTAAGCCATACTACAGTATCCAAAGTGCAGGTGAGCCGTATTACAGTCTCCAAGTACAGATTAAGCCATACTACAGTATCCAATGTGCAGGTGAGCCGTATTACAGTCTCCAAGTACAGATTAAGCCATACTACAGTATCCAAAGTGCAGGTGAGCCGTATTACAGTCTCCAAGTACAGATTAAGCCATACTACAGTATCCAAAGTGTAGGTGAGCGGTATTACAGTCTCCAAGTACAGATTAAGCCATACTACAGTATCCAAAGTGCAGGTGAGCCGTATTACAGTCTCCAAGTACAGATTAAGCCATACTACAGTATCCAAAGTGCAGGTGAGCCGTATTACAGTCTCCAAGTACAGATTAAGCCATACTACAGTATCCAAAGTGCAGGTGAGCCGTATTACAGTCTCCAAGTACAGATTAAGCCATACTACAGTATCCAAAGTGCAGGTGAGCCGTATTACAGTCTCCAAGTACAGATTAAGCCATACTACAGTATCCAAAGTGCAGGTGAGCCGTATTACAGTCTCCAAGTACAGATTAAGCCATACTACAGTATCCAATATGCAGGTGAGCCGTATTACAGTGTCCAAGTACAGGTGAGCCGTATTACAGTCTCCAAGTACAGATTAAGCCATACTACAGTATCCAAAGTGCAGGTGTGCTCTTTACAAGAAACCCGTTAGAGAATAAGACACGGAAATTGCTGGCCACCCCGCGGGGCAGCATGTATCAATGTGCACGGACTTAGCAAATGCCAAATGTCAGTGGAGCTTGTGTGATCAGAATGCGGTTGACCTAGATATCGACATCCTTCGCGTGCCCTCAGCTGAGTTGAAATGGGTGTGCACAGGCCTTTGAAGGTGGAGCACCGCCTCACCCCCCTCTCCCCCCACACACACACACTTTTCCCCCTACCCTGAAAACGTTTCCCCTAACGCCTTCTCGATATGATCTTATTGGTCTTGTCCAAGGTAGTATGATCAATAATTTAAATTAGTATTATAAATAATTAAAGACTAATGCTAGCATGTAATATTAGTGGCCACAAAATTTCCATGAGTCACTTTTAGTGGAACCAGCTTCCTGAGCCACGTTTGAAGTGATGCATGTCAAATCCTTGGCTACAGAAATGTTCGAGTTTAGGATCTTTCATCATTTCTATTTGATCTCATGAGATGAAAAAGGGGGAAGGGGCAGGAGTGGGTTGGGGCTGACAGACTCACACCTGTTGGCTGCCCACACATCCACGAGAAAGCTTTCCAAGTAAGCTAGCTTAAACACAGCTCTAGGTAACTTCAAAGTAATATATAATTTTGATTGTAAGTACTACAAATATAAACGCTAATAGAACGTTCATGTGACACAGAGTCTCGGAATGCAAACAAAAATTTCTAAACACATCATGACTTTAAAATATATCAATGGATTTTGCCTTCTAAGAAACTGCTTCAATTGGTCCCCTTTGTTTCTAGGGTTGGGAATATTATATAGATTGCTTTTGTGTAGCATCCATTGTAAGGCTTGGGAATAGTCCCAGATTATATAGAGTGTAAGAGGTTGAACCATTAAGAAGAAGATAAAAAGCTAAAGGCTACGAACACAAACGATTATATTATTAGCTGCTTCAAAAAATGCTCACATTTTGTGGATGTCTGGCAAGGGATTTCATACCAAACTATTGTCCTTTCATAAAACACACACACACACACACGACGCAGACACAGACACACACACGCACATATACTACTCTTGAAGTCCATTTTTTTTTCTATTCTCATAAAAAAACGTAGTTTTTAAAATCAAAGCAACTGCTTATCCCGGAACAAGTCTAACTACCGACTCTTCCGAGACTCGTCGTCCTTCTAGGATAGGTCGAAATGAGATGATTTGCTTGCGATCTTTAGGGGGGGGGGGAATAAATCATGCTCTTACTAGAAACTTAGGTCGTGCATAATCACAACACGTGTCATTGCTTGATAATCAATCATTTACTTATAAATTCACGCCACTCAGAAGCCATAAGAAACGCATAGAATCCCATCACTTGTGTGTTACTTACGGGTTCCAAAATTATGTTAATGTTCCCCGTGTACTGAAATCATCTTTAATGCGAGAAGCGCGCGATGACTTAATAAAACAATTTACATACATAAATACATACATAAATACATATATTTTTGAAGTTTACATAATTTTAAAGAAAGGCTTTCTGTTATTATTGACATCGACTCTTTGGTAGTATCAGCGTCCCCTTAGGTAGTATCAGCGCCCCCTTAGGTAGTATCACTGCGCCCTTTGTTAGCACCACTACCCCCTTTGGCAGTATCAGCGCCCCCTTAGTTTCACCAACCCCTTTGGTAGTATCAGCGCCCCCTTAGGTAGTATCACTTCGCCCTTTGTTAGCACCACTACCCCCTTTGGCAGTATCAGCGCCCCCTTAGGTAGTATCACTGGGCCCTTTGTTAGCACCACTACCCCCTTTGGCAGTATCAGCGCCCCCTTAGGTAGTATCACTGCGCCCTTTGTTAGCACCACTACCCCCTTTGGCAGTACCAGCGCCCCCTTAGTTTCTCCATCCCCGTCGGTAGTATCAGCGCCCCCTTAGGTAGTATCACTTCGCCCTTTGTTAGCACCACTACCCCCTTTGGCAGTATCAGCGCCCCCTTAGGTAGTATCACTGTAGTATCAGCGCCCCCTTTGGTATTATCAGCGCCCCCTTAGGTAGTATCACTGCGCCCTTTGTTAGCACCACTACCCCCTTTGGCAGTATCAGCGCCCCCTTAGGTAGTATCAGCGCCCCCTTAGGTAGTATCACTTCGCCCTTTGTTAGCACCACTACCCCTTTGGCAGTATCAGCGTCCCCTTAGTTTCACCAACCCCTTTGGTAGTATTACCGCCCCATTCGTTAGTATCCCCGCCCTCTTTGGTAGCATCACCGCTCCCTTTGGTAGCATCAGCGCTCCCTTTGGTAGTAGCACCGCCCTCTTTGGTAGTATCATCACCCCCCCTAATCTAATGGGAATTTATCCCCACCCCCGCCCCGGTACTGCTCACTTTGAGAACCACTGAGTTAAACCACCTTAGGTTAAAAAACAACAAGTGTCTCGGTCGTTAAAGCTCTAACACAAAAAGCGTCCTGCATCTCAAAACTATCTTCTAGTGGAGATGGGCTAAGAAATTAGCTTATTTAAGATGGCCATATCCTTTAGGGCTGATTTCTAGTTTCTACGCTAGAGAAATACTTGAGGAGTCTTGTGTTTAAATTGTTATAATTGTAAAATGTTGTCTTGGTGAAGATATGTATCTATTTATGTGCTGAAAATGAATATCCACACTGTAATCGCAAATAATTTCCATGTATTTGGATTAATAAATACTCTTATCTTATCTTATATTGAGCTTGGATATAGTAAACTTATTATCCCAAGCCTGGGGAGGTTCGTTTGGCTAAGATAGACCTGATTCACCTGCCAGGAGAATTCATATTTAGTGAATTTAGTAAATGTGTCTAACTTGCATGCCATGTGTGTTTGAGTCAGCACAGAGAGAGAGAGAAGCATCTAGCCATTACAAAGACAAGCATTTAGTCAGCACAAAGAAACGCGTTTAGTCAGCACAAAGAGAAGCATTAAGTCAGCACAAAGAAAAGAATTTAGTCAGCACCAAGAGAAGATTTAGTCATCACAAAGATAATCAATAAGTCAGCACATAGAGAAGCATTTAGTCAGCACAAAGAAAAGAATTTAGTCAGCACCAAGAGAATCGTCTGGTTATCACAAAGAGAATCATTAAGTCAGCACAAAGAGAAGCGCTTAGTCAGCACAAAGAAAAGAATTTAGTTAGCACAAAGAGAAGAATTTAGTCAGCACAAAAAGAAGCATTTATTCAGCACAAATAAGAAGCATTTAGTCAGAACAAAGAGAAGGATTTAGTCAGTACAAATAGAAGCATTTAGTCAGTACAAAGAGACGCATTTAGTCAGAACAAAGAGAAGATTTTAGTCAGTACAAATAGGAGCATTTAGTCAGTACAAAGAGAAGCATTAAGTCAGTACAAAATTTAACTAAGTAGTATGAATCTAGCTTAATATATAATCTCAAAGATTTTTATTCCGATACTATTAGATTTTAGGTTTCTTTGAAAACGGGCAAAAAATCGATGGCTGATTAACATTTATGCTGAAGGGGCACCATTTTGTGGTCATGCCTATAACGCAAAGCTTCCTTATACAGACACTGACTAGAACAGTGTGTGATATATAGAACATACAGTGGTGTATGTCATGAACAACTTATCATAGAGGATTATGTGATGAAGAACATACACTAGAGGAGTATGTGATGTAGAGCATACACTAGAGGAGTATGTGATGTAGAACATAATAGTAGAGGAGTATGTGATGTAGAGCATATTGTAGAGGAGTATGTGATGTACAACCTATAGTAGAGGAGTATGTGATGTACAACATATAGTAGAGGAGTATGTGATGTAGAACATACACTAGAGGAGTATGTAATGTAGAACATGCAGTAGAGGATTATATGATGTAGAACATACACTAGAGAAGTGTGTGATGCAGAAGCTTCTCCAATAATTGTTCAGTTTGCTGGACCGTTAGACAAATTTCCCATTGCTCCAGGGACGGGAGTCAAGTAATTTATAAATTATTGTTATAAGTGGCAAGACTATTTTTGTGTGTACTGGCCGTCCCAATGTGACGATGGTGTAGACTTCGCGGGACAAAATTCAGAAAATGGGATTATTCTGTTAAGATTATAAGCTGCTGCCCTACACAGCAAATCGCCTCTCTCCACGCCCCTGGATAAGCCATGGGAACATCATGCGGATGATACAGGTTGGCACCAGTGGCGTCGCGGAGTTGTCGGAATGTTTCATTGTGCCAATGTTATCCGCCTACGGGACTCCATCTCTGGGATTTGAATTCAGAGTTTCCTTCTCTTAGCTCTAAGATGAGTTGCCGTCCAATGTTGACGAGCCCCATCCACCCATGACTGGGATTTAGTAAGGATTCAACTCCAGACAATGAACTTAATATTTTGTTTCTTTTTAGACCACTTTTGGCTACCCATCACCCTCTTAGCGGCTAGATTTTTTAGGACAAATGAAACAATATGTTGGCTTGCACTCAAGTGCTATGACATAAGAACCCCGGAATGTCATCATACATACACCGATACATCATTTAAAATACATGCCGCATGTGTTCATCCTCGAATCTTTTTCGATGACATCTTTCATAAGCGCTTTCTTCTTTTTTTGAGGGGGGGTCCTACTTTCGCCACAAGATTGACTCACCAAATAGAACAATGAAGTTTTACTATCTATAAACAAAACCATGTTAAATCTTGGCTCTTAGGTGCCGACACCATAACCTTTTGTTACAACACTTGAAACCGACCCGTACTTCTCCCCTTCAAGTCTGACGTCATACTGCCACTCTCTAATGCTCTTGTTCGGCTTTCTAATCGCAATTGCAAAAACATCCCATACTCTTGGAACCAGCAGGTCACGCGTGTTTTTGATTTCGTACACATTTATTCCATTATTGTTTTGGCATGGAAAATATGGATTGTATAGAAACAATTTCTAAAGTAGCTATATACCACGCTTACTCCAACACTATCAGAAGAGGCTTAACGTAAGTTCGATCATGAAAATTCCAATTCTTAAAGTTGAGCTTGGTGAAGCTATAAACGATTGTTTAGCTGTGCAGCTATAAAGCATTGATTAGATGTGCAGCTATGAACCATTGATTGGCTGTGCAGCCTATGAACCATTAAATAGCTGTGCAGCTATATATCATTTAATTTTAATAGCTGTGCAGCTATAAACCACTGAATAGCCATGCAGCTATAAGCTATTGATTGGCTGGGCAGCTATAAACCATCGATTAGCTGTGCAGCTATAAACCCTTGATTAGCTGTGCAGCTATAAACCACTGAATAGCTATGCAGCTATAAACCACTGAATAGCTGTGCAGCTATAAGCTATTGATTGGCTGCGCAGCTATAAACCATTGATTAGCCGCGCAGCACTAGGCCAGTTTGTAAAAAAAATGCATATACAATTGATGAGCTTAAGAAAGAATCCAATGACTTACTTGTCGGCCATACTGTCTCTGGGCGCTCCTCCGGATATTTTGATTGGTTTCTTGAAACAAGGTCACGCACCTTGGAACTTCCGCATCCAATGACACAAGGGCCTTAGCTCTGAGCAACGTTCAAATAAATCCAAGGCTTGTTGAAATCCTATAGGCAATGAAACTACGATGACTATACGAAGCTATTGCGTCTGGAAGTTAATCAAAACATTACACATGAAATGGCAAAAACAAAAAGTCTCATGCACTTTTACTTTAAAACTTTAAAAAAATGTCTTTATTTTTATGTAAATTGACGTAAAATACAGAATAATTGCTACAAAGCTACAGGGCAAATGAATTAGGATTTTAATTATATAGTGAAATAGCGGAGACAAAATAAAAATAGAAATAATTGAATTAATCAATCATGATTTTTATCTCGGTGTCCGACAGCCAATAGAAAAAAAAGACATGTTTACTTCTCATTCCCTCATTTTATTTGTTTGGCAATCGAAGGGTTAACAATCCAATGGGATATTTATTAAATTACTCTTTAAATGCGGTCAGCAAGGGTGTTCACATGAGTTTGGTAATAACAATTTATTTTTAAAGTTTTTTAAAATTAAAAATCAAAATTAACCCAAAGAGTTTCAGTGTTGAATAAAATATCTTTTCTTAAACCACACCACACATTGCATTTCTTTGCACACGACATTAAAAGGTGGACTGTTCCAAGACATTCAATGAATCCTAGCAGCTAGCTTTGTAACATTGGGTATTATCTTAGTAATTGTACACAAAACAGAGGTGGTATTTGCTAACTTTATCCTCTAGAAGATTGTAATATTTGGTACCTGTTTCCTACGGAAAATTGTAACATTAACTTCCTGAGTCATATGGAAGAAGCTTACGGCTTTGAACATAACGGTATCTGGGAATAGGATGTTTCCAACGAAAACAACAACATACACACAGCAAACAGAACTAGAAATTAAAACTCAAATCTAATGTGTACTAACTTTATATATATATATATATATATATATATATATAACTAGAAATGAAAACTCAAATCTAATGTGCANTATATATATATATAAAGGGGTAAAATCATGGAAAGTTAAATTTTAGTTTTCAAAAGTACAAACAAGCACGACTAAAAGAGGCCGTCAATCAATAAAAGTGCAATCGGGGTACCGGCTCAACATTGGAACAACGCTCGCCATTAACCAGGCATGTGCGGGGCGGCTTCCCTTACCTGTAGCACACACAAACATCCCATTTACACGGAAACACAGAATGACTGGATGCCGATGCTCTCTCACACCTACAGACACACAAGGCTCCCGTCTACACGTGATTTGAGGGTGGGTCGTTAGCGTAAGAAAATGCTGCAGGGATTCTCAAAGAAAATGTAGCGTCTTACTTCTTTTGCTTATGTTTGGGGGGGGGGGATTACTTTTAATAGTTTGTTAAGTGGCGTCTTGCAGCCAACACACTGATTGGTGCATTGCCTTAGTTAGATCGATTAATTTATATGTTCCCTATGAAAGACCATCTTTATCTTTTATTCCGTGCAAACATTATAAATTGCAAGTAAAGTTTTGTTCTTTCTTCTTATTACATTGATGCTAATTTTGAATTCAACTCAATTTTCCCCCTACCTCAACAATGTGTTTATCCCGACATTTCAATGTCTTTAGTTTCGTAAGAAGTCAGTTGAATGTCTATACAACTTATAATTTCTCACTGTGCGATCTTGAAATTCATCATGACGAAGGTGTGCCTTATGTGCTGATTTACGAGCGCCGTCCTACATGATACGTCCTAAACGATACGTCCTAAACGATACTTCCTAAACGATACTTCCTAAACGATACGTCCTAAACGATACATCCTAAACGATACTTCCTAAACGATACGTCCTAAACGATCCGTCCTAAACCATACGTCCTAAAAGATATGTACTAAACGATACCTCCTAAACGATACGTCCTTAAATATACATCCTAAACGATACGTCCTTAACGATACGTCCTAAACGATACGTAGGCCTACTACACGAGACAACCTAAACGATACGTAGGCCTACTACACGAGACAACCTAAACGATACGTAGGCCTACTACACGAGACAACCTAAAAGATACGTACTGCGTCCTAAACAATACCACAGACAATGATACACGCATATTTGATCTGATAAATTCAGCTGGAGTTTTCAAAGCCTGCTCTCGTTTATCCGAATTATAGTGATGCCAAAAAGTAAAGAAAGCAGACAAAAGTTCATAATCCGTTTCCAACTCGATGTCCACCATGACCCTGTGGATGACTGGGACGAAAGGTAACTCTGTTTTGAATAAAACAATGAATAGAAAATGTTATTTCATAGATTAACAAACATAAGGGGGAAATAAATGTGGAGTTTTATTTCAGATAAAACTTTGCTCTACAAAATATTCCCCCAACTTTTTTTTTTCTCTTTGCCGTTTCCAAATGTGAAATTTGTTGAATGTATAGATAAAGTGGAATATAACATGACGAAAATCTTGTAATCATCCTGTGGAACAGTTATCGAATGCTCTAATTATCATGTAGACAATAATATAAATTATTGTATCCCCATTTGAATATATTGTTGTCTCAAACAGACAGCTCGTTCTTCCACGTATAGAGTTCATGTTGGCACACACCTTGCACCCTTCCCACACATATCTTGAGTTCATGACGGTACAAGTGGAGGCCCACAAGGCCTAAATAAATTACTATGCCTCATTCAGATGTAATTTTAGAACCTTTGGTTTAAAGACCATCCCCTCCCCCGTTCCCCTTCACACTATACGCTGGATGTGTTCTTCTTTGCTCAGCTTTTCTGAGCACTACAACGTTGCGAGGGACATTCCAACAAAATGATGTTGAGAAGGTTGGCACGAGTTGTTTGAGCACGGGATGTAAGAGATGGTTGGCACAGGTTGTTTGGGCACGGGATGTAAGAGAAGGCTGGCACGAGTTGTTTGAGCACAGGACGTAAGAGATGTTTGGCACAGGTTGTTTGAGCACGGGATGTAAGAAAAGGTTGGCACGAGTTGTTTGAGCACGGGATGTAAGAGATGGTTGGCACAGGTTGTTTCAGCATGGAATGTAAGAGATGGTTGGCATAGGTTGTTTGGGCATCGGATGTAAGAGATGGTTGGCACAGGTTGTTTGAATATGGGATGTAAGAGATGATTGGGATAGGTTGTTTGAGCATGAGATTTACGAGATGGTTGGCACAGGTTGTTTGAGCACGGGATGTAAGAGATGGTTGGCAAAGGTTGTTTGAGCACGGGATGTAAGAGATGGTTGGCAAAGGTTTTTGGGCATACGATTTAAAAGATCGTTGGTTCGGGTTGTTTAAGCATGGAATGTTAGAGATGGTTGACACAGGTTGTTTGAGCATGGGATGTAAGAGGTGGTTGAAATGGTTTGTTTGAGCATGAGATTTAAGAGATAGTTGGCAAAGGTTGTTTGGGCATGAGATTTAAGAGATGGTTGGCATAGGTTGTTTGAGCATGAGATTTAAGAGAAGGTTGGCACGAGCTGCTTGAGCACGGGATGTAAGAGATGGTTGGCACAGATTGATTGAGCACGGGCTTTAAGAGATGGTTGGCACAGGTTGTTTGAGCATGGAATGTAAGAGATGGTTGGCATAGGTTGTTTGGGCATCGGATGTAAGAGATGATTGGCACAGGTTGTTTGAGCATGTGATGTAAGAGATGATTGGCACAGGTTGTTTGAGCATAGGAGGTAAGAGAAGGTTGGTACGGGTTGTTTTAACATGGGAAATTATCTAACTTCTTCCAGCCCTAGAAATCATAAATGATGATGTCTGCTGCATTTATTGTTTCTTTAAAAATATCGATGCATTTTTACCTGCATGAATTAAAAGCAAAGAAACACTTGATAAGGATAGAAATTTAAACTTATTTGAATGTTATTCTTAACATGTTTTACCTTACGCTGACTGGGGTGAGTTGAAATCTCCCAAAACTTATTGCGCAAAAAGGATGAAAATGATTGGATGAAAGTGACTTCATTCATCAAATAGCCGCCCTCCAAGTGAATTAAAACACCAATTTACTGCAAGGCGCGTCACTGTTAGTAAACAATGTGAGCAAAGCCTTAACTTATTTGGGATCAGAGTTTATGGGGGGGGATTAAATTGTTATTTTTAATAATTATTAAATATATTAACGCTGCTTACGGTAAGCATAAAAATCCTCTATCCGTCAGCAGTCTCATCTCAACGAATATTGTTTTATATGAATTTTTAATTTGTTGTCTTTGTGGGTTCTCGTTTTGGGTGCTTTTCAAACTTTTTTCTTGTCGTGTATTTTTTAAATAGTGGTATTTTTTTGTGTATTTAAAAAAAAAAAATTTGAGGGCCCACGATCAATGTATTGATCATTCTAATTGAGGGCCCACGATCAATGTATTGATCATTCTGGCTCCTAATGAGTGATCTTGTTGAGTTTTATTTTGAATTGCTCTCAAGCTTGGGTTAGGGTTAGGGTTAGGGTTAGGGTTAGGGGTCAACAGTCTTTTATTATTTTTTTTGGAAATACTTGTTTTGTAGTAGTATACATTTTTATTTAATTTATTGAGTTGTTTTCAATTCTTGTAGTATGAAATAGATGTATAAAGAACAAAGAGATGTCATATAGTTTTAAGAGGGATTTTATTTACATAATTTTTCCAATACAATTAAAGAACATATAAAAGTATTATGTACCAGGTCATAATTATTATTAATATAAATATTTAAAGTATAAGTATAGAGTCAGTAATACATATTTTACAAAATATAAACAAAATTCAAAGTATTATGTATAGAATCAAAAGAATAGCAACAATTATATTCAAAGTATTATTTATATGATCAGTACAATTATGTAAATTACAAATTGTCAAAAATACTAAGTAAATGTGTTAAATAAATAAAAAATCAATCTATGTCAAAGTTATCAAGTCAAAGTCGTTCACTTAGTAATGTGGGTAATGGTGGTGCATCTGTCCTAGAGGTTCCAAAAACTAACTAAATAGCCAGAGGGGGTGTTGAAACATTGTATGCGTACCTGTTTTTTTAATATAAAAATATGAAAGAGAATTTCTATGTTGTGTATATGTATATACCGCTGATCCCTGTGTAAAAACCTATGTTTTTCCAGCCCCCAGCTTGTTGTGTTGTGTAAACATTCATAAAGTGTGTCTTGTCTGAGCGTTGTGTTGTGAGAACATTCATAAAGTATGTCTTGTCTGGAGCGTCGTGTTGTGAGAACATTCATAAAGTGTGTCTTGTCTGGAGCGTTGTGTTGTGAGAACATTCATAAAGTGTGTCTTGTCTGGAGCGTTGTGTTGTGAGAACATTCATAAAGTGTGTCTTGTCTGGAGCGTCGTGTTGTGAGAACATTCATAAAGTGTGTATTGTCTGGAGCGTCGTGTTGTGAGAACATTCATAAAGTGCGTCTTGTCTGGAGCGTTGTGTTGGGAGAACATTCATAAAGTGTGTCTTGACTGAAGTGTTGCGTTGTGAGAACATTCATAAAGTGTGTCTTGACTGAAGCGTTGCGTTGTGAGAACATTCATAAAGTGTGTCTTGTCTGGAGAGTCGTGTTGTGAGAACATTCATAAAGTGTGTCTTGACTGAAGCGTTGCGTTGTGAGAACATTCATAAAGTGTGTCTTGTCTGGAGCGTCGTGTTGTGAGAACATTCATAAAGTGTGTCTTGTCTGGAGAGTCGTGTTGTGAGAACATTCATAAAGTGCGTCTTGTCTGGAGCGTTGTGTTGTGAGAACATTCATAAAGTGTGTCTTGACTGAAGCGTTGCGTTGTGAGAACATTCATAAAGTGTGTCTTGACTGAAGCGTTGCGTTGTGAGAACATTCATAAAGTGTGTCTTGTCTGGAGAGTCGTGTTGTGTGAACATTCATAAAGTGTGTCTTGACTGAAGCGTTGCGTTGTGAGAACATTCATAAAGTGTGTCTTGTCTGGAGCGTCGTGTTGTGAGAACATTCATAAAGTGTGTCTTGTCTGGAGTCGTGTTGTGTGAACATTCATAAAGTGTGTCTTGACTGAAGCGTTGCGTTGTGAGAACATTCATAAAGTGTGTCTTGTCTGGAGCGTCGTGTTGTGAGAACATTCATAAAGTGTGTCTTGTCTGGAGAGTCGTGCTGTGAGAACATTCATAAAGTGTATCTTGACTGAAGCGTAGCGTTGTGAGAACATTCATAAAGTGTGTCTTGTCTGGAGCGTCGTGTTGTGAGAACATTCATAAAGTGTGTCTTGTCTAG